CGCTTTGACAACCCGGCGGCGGGCCGGGGGGCTGGTTCGCCGAGCGGCGGGGACCGGGTACTGGGGGCCGGGCGCGGGGGCCCGCGGCGGCGACTGCAGGGGCGGGCCTGCCGGAGGACACGCGGGCACCGGCGGTGGGACTGTGCGGCGGGAGGGGCCGCCTTGCCTCGCGTCGCCGGGACCGCCCCGCCGCTCCCCAAACACCGCTCCCGGGCCGGAACCTTCGTGCCGCGGGACCGGCTTCTGCCGGGAGGCTGGCGGGGGGCACTTCCGGCTCGCGGAGCTGCTTCCGGCGCGGCGCTTCCGGTCGGGCGGCCCGGCACTTTTGGGAAATGGTTGTGGAGCCGGCGGCGGCAGGGGCTCGTCACACCCGCTGGCCCGGCGCCCACGGCCTCCGCTCCCCGCGTGCGGCCCCCTGCCCCTCCCCGCAGGCCCCGGCGCGCCCTGTGCGGGCGCCACGTCGCATCCTCGCGGGGCGTGAGCGGCCGGGGGACCCCTGAGCACCGGGCCGCGAGGCCCATGCCCCTCCCCGACTGAACAGCCGGGCCGGGCCGCCCGGGGCGCACAGGCCTGGGCCGAACAGCCATGGAGAAGATGTCCCGGGTGAGCACGGCCCTGGGCGGCGGCGCGCTGACCGGCCGCACCATGCACTGCCACCTGGACGCGCCGGCCAACGCCATCAGCGTGTGCAGAGACGCGGCCCAGGTGGTGGTGGCCGGCCGCAGCATCTTCAAGATCTACGCCATCGAGGACGAGCAGTTCGTGGAGAAGCTGAACCTGCGTGTGGGCCGCAAGCCCTCGCTCAACCTGAGCTGCGCAGACGTCGTCTGGCACCAGATGGACGAGAACCTGCTGGCGACGGCGGCCACCAACGGCGTGGTGGTCACCTGGAACCTGGGCCGACCGTCGCGCAACAAGCAGGACCAGCTGTTCACAGAGCACAAGCGCACGGTGAACAAAGTTTGCTTCCACCCCACCGAGGCACACGTGCTGCTCAGCGGTTCCCAGGACGGCTTCATGAAGTGCTTCGACCTCCGCAGGAAGGACTCCGTGAGCACCTTCTCGGGTGAGCCCTGCAGGCAGCCTCGTGCGCCCCAGACGGCCTGGGACGTGGCCGGGAGCGGCGCGGGGCGTGCGCTTGGGTCAGCAGGGCCGGGTGGGTGGGCACCAGCGACAGGACCACCCGGCCGCAGGAAGCGCACCAGGAAGGCTGGGGGGTGTGGGGGGGTGCCTGTCCCCACACTCCTTTTCCCAGCAGCCCAAGCTCCTCCACAGCTGGCCTTGAGCCCCCGATCCCTTGTCCACCTTGAAGAGACCAAACGGAGCACGGCCTGGAAGCCTCAGTCCTGGGGGCCTCCTGAGGCTGGCCCTGAGCTACCTGTGCTGTGGGAAAGCTGGAGGCCTCGAGGGCACTCGGTGTGCTGGTCCTGGGGCTGGGGGTGGGGGACACGGACCTTTAAGGTGTGCGGTCCTGTGGGGCTGACCCAGCAACGCCAGTGCAAGCTGGAGGGATGGAACAGAAGCCGGGGCAGCCTCACCCGGGCCTCCCCAGGCCTCCCTCAGCAGAGTGCGTACAGCTAAGCGCAGCCAGCTTCCTGTGTGCTCAGTGCCCTGAAGCCCCGCCGCAGCTCTGCAAGGACCGACATCAGATGCGTGATCCAGGAGAAACCGAGGTCCCCGTTACGGGTTCACAAACCACGCGATGCCTGGCATCCTGCCCCTGGCCTATCGACCACATTTTCTCTGTGAGGCCTCTCCCCACCACCCCGCCAGGCAGGCTCAGTGGTATCCACGCCACCTTGGAGGCCTCCCCGCCTGGACCATGGGCAGGCATGTGACATTAGTCCACAGTCACTGCAAGGCTCCACCCTTGGCTGCTCTCTCTGCTCTAGCTCCCTCACCCTCTCCCTCCATCGACGTCCTCTCCACAGGCCAGTCTGAGAGCGTGCGTGATGTCCAGTTCAGCATCCGGGACTACTTCACCTTCGCCTCCACCTTCGAGAACGGCAACGTGCAGCTCTGGGACATCCGCCGGCCTGACCGCTGTGAGAGGATGTTCACGGCCCACAACGGGCCTGTCTTCTGCTGCGACTGGCACCCTGAGGACAGGTGTGGCATGGGGTGGGGGCACAGGCAGCAGGGTGGGATGGGTGGGGTCGCGGGGGGGCTGCCTCCAGACCTGTGAGGCAGAGTGGGGAGGCCTCCCACCCCTGGAGAGGATACTGAGGGTTTCATGGACTTATTGTAGGGGCTGGCTGGCCACAGGTGGGCGTGACAAGATGGTGAAGGTCTGGGACATGACCACGCACCGTGCCAAGGAGGTGCACTGTGTGCAAACCATCGCCTCAGTGGCCCGCGTCAAGTGGAGGCCTGAGTGCCGCCACCACCTGGCCACCTGCTCCATGATGGTGGACCATAACATCTACGTGTGGGACGTGCGCCGGCCTTTCGTTCCGGCTGCCATGTTTGAGGAGCACCGAGATGTCACAACAGGCATTGCTTGGCGTCACCCACACGATCCCTCCTTCCTGCTCTCTGGCTCTAAGGACAGCACGCTGTGCCAGCACCTGTTCCGTGACGCCAGCCAGCCTGTTGAGCGCGCCAACCCTGAGGGCCTCTGCTATGGTCTCTTTGGGGACCTGGCCTTTGCTGCCAAGGAGAGCCTAGTGGCCACTGAGTCTGGGCGCAAGCCCTATGCCGGTGATCGGCGCCACCCCATCTTCTTCAAGCGTAAACTGGACCCTGCCGAGCCTTTCGTGGGCCTCGCGTCCAGTGCCCTCAGTGTCTTTGAGATAGAGCCTGGCAGTGGCAGCATGAGCTGGTTCGTGGACACCGCCGAGCGTTATGCCCTGGCTGGCCGGCCTCTGGCTGAGCTCTGTGACCACAATGCGAAAGTGGCTCGGGAGCTTGGCCGCAACCAGGTAGGCGGCGTGGCCTGAGAGGGTCCCAGGGCCCATGACCTTGGGGGCTCCCCCAACTGCTATACCCGGACCCTGCCCTGTGTTTACCGCTCAGCATGGCGGCTGCCACCACCAGCCACCACCCTGGTAACCGAGGATACCCGCTGGCCTGGAGTGGACCCGATGGCAGTGCATCCTTAGGGTGCAGGTCTGGGGGGTTAGTGTTCCAGCCCCGCTTGTGGCTCTTTTTTGCTTTTGGTTTTTTCAAGGTGTCTGATCCTGCAGAGGTCGACATGGCTTTTCTCATTGTTTTCCTGGGACCATAGGCCGATTTGCATGTGTTGACTGCCTCCAATTTCTGCTTCTGCTTATCCCCTTGCAGGATCGAGACTAGGATTTTTGTCTTTGGCACAGGCTTCAGTTCCCCAGCTGGAGTGGGCCAGGACTTTGGGTGCTTGGGGCAGCAGAACCTGACAGTTTGTGGTTCCATCCAGGTGGGAGTGGAGGGTGCTGGATGGGGTGCCGAGGACCCAGGCCCCCGGTGAGTGCCTGGCATCCTCCCCTAGGTAGCACAGACCTGGACCATGCTGCGGATCATCTACTGTAGCCCTGGCCTGGCGTCTGCCACCAACCTCAACCACAGCGTGGGCAAGGGCAGCTCTTGCGGCTTGCCACTCATGAACAGGTAGCCATCTGGGGGTGGCTCCACCCAGAGGGTGGGCTGTTGGAGCCCATCTACCCACTGGCCTTCCCTGCCCCCAGTTTCAACCTGAAGGATATGGCGCCAGGGTTGGGCAGTGAGACCAGACTGGACCGTAGCAAGGGTGACACACGGAGCGACACAGTGCTGCTGGACTCCTCAGCCACACTCCTCACCAATGAGGGTAGGCTGGGGGGGTGGACAGGGCACTGGTGGGAGCAGGACTGGGGCCTCCCAGAATCAGCTCCTCTGGAACACCCCCCCCCCCCCATGGGCAGATAACGAAGAGACAGAGGGCAGCGACGTGCCTGCGGATTATCTGCTGGGTGACGTGGAGGGCGAAGAGGACGAGCTGTACCTGTTGGAGCCAGAACACGCACATGGTGAGTGGGCGCTGGGGAAGTGGGGTTGGGAGGTGGGGCCGGAGGCTCAGACCCTGCCTTCCCTGACCCTGCCTTCAGCGGAGGAGCCTGAGTATGTGCTGCCGCAGGAGGCCTTCCCGCTACGCCATGAGATTGTGGACACTCCGCCGGGGCCCGAGCACCTGCAGGACAAGGCTGACTCGCCCCACGTCAGCGGCAGTGAGGCTGAAGCAGCCTCCCTGGCGCCTGTGGACTCCTCCTTCTCGCTCATCTCCGTCTCGCACACGCTCTACGACAGCCGCCTGCCGCCTGACTTTTTCAGCGCCCTGGTGTGTGACATGCTGCGCTTCTATGCAGAGCAGGGTGACGTGCAGATGGCCGTGTCCGTGCTCATTGTGCTGGGCGAACGAGTGCGCAAGGACATTGATGAGCAGACCCAGGTGGGTGAGTGGGTGTGGGGAGGGCGTCCCTGCCACCCCAGGGCTGCCGGCGCGCTCACCTCCGGCCTCCTTCCCTCCCGCCGCCCCAGGAGCACTGGTACACGTCCTACATCGACCTGCTGCAGCGCTTCTGCCTCTGGAACGTGTCCAACCAGGTGGTGAAGCTCAGCACCAGCCGTGCCATCAGCTGCCTCAACCAGGCGTCCACCACCCTGCACGTCAACTGCAGCCACTGCAAGCGGCCCATGAGCAGCCGCGGCTGGGTCTGTGACCGCTGCCACCGCTGCGCCAGCATGTGCGCCGTGTGCCACCACGTGGTCAAGGGGCTGTTCGTGTGGTGCCAGGGCTGCAGTCACGGAGGCCACCTGCAGCACATCATGAAGTGGCTGGAGGGCAGCTCGCACTGCCCCGCGGGCTGCGGCCACCTGTGCGAGTACTCCTGACCGCCGCGGACGGGAGGCGCTGGGCGTGGGGACCAAATAAAGGAAGCAGGAGCCGCAGTGTGAGGCCGCCCGTCACCCGCTCGTGCACTCGCGCCGTCAGCTCCAAGCTGGGCGGTTCTGCTGGGTGGGCGGCGGCGTTGCCATGGGAACCCGCGGCGGCCGCTCCGCCTCCTTCCGCGGCCCTAGCACCGCCTTCCGGGGTGGGCCCGTTGCTGATGCCACGACGACGGAGCTCCCGGCAGGCTTCGCGGCGGCGGGCTCATGGCGCCAGGGGCGCGGCCACTGCTGCTGCTGGCCGTCTGGACGCTGGCAGCGCCGGTGCTGCGCGGCGCCGGGGACACGGGCGACGGAGGGTGGTGAGCGGCGCGGGCGGGCGGCCGGGACCCACGGGCGGCCGGGCGGCCGGGTGGCGGGGCGCTGACGGCCGTGCCCGCAGGCAGAGGCGCGGGCCTGGGGCGCCGGCCGCGGTGGCGGAGGAGGAACGCTGCGCCGTGGAGCGCCGGGCGGACCTCAGCTACGCCGAGTTCGTGCAGCAGTACGTGCAGCCCCCACACCCGCCTCCCGCCCCGGCCCCCGCGCCCCTCCCCCGAGCCGGTGCAACCCGCTGTGGCCCCGCCCCTCCAGGTACGCCTTCTCCAGGCCCGTCATCCTGCAGGGGCTCACGGACAACTCGGTGAGTGCAGCGCCCCGCCCGGTCTCTCCACCCGCGCCGGCCCGTCCTTAAGTCTTCTCCCCGCCCCCCTAGCACTTCCGGGCCCTGTGCTCCAGAGAACGGCTGCTGGCCTCCTTCGGGGACAGCGTGGTCCGGCTGAGCACCGCCAATACCTACTCCTACCGGAAAGGTGAGCTGCTGCGGCCGCTGCCCCGCCTGCTTGCTGGCACTTGCAGGCAGCCTGGGCCAGTCCTGACCAGGCCCTTTCCTACAGTGGACCTGCCCTTCCAGGACTACGTGGAGCACCTACTGCACCCCCAGGACCCTAGCTCCCTGGGCAACGGTGAGTCACACCTGGTTGGCCGTGGGCTGAGATGGGGGCATGTGGACAAGTACAGGTGTCGAGACCCAGGCGCCTCCTGTGTTCTGTGTTGGCAGACACCTTGTACTTCTTCGGGGACAACGATTTCAGCGAATGGGCCTCACTCTTCCAGTACTACTCCCCGCCTCCATTTAGTCTGCTAGGTACCACTGCTGCCTACAGCTTTGGAATCGCAGGTGGGTACCTGTACGTGGCATGCCGGAGGAAGGGGACGCGCCAGGTGGGGTTGCGTCAGCAAGTGCTCCTAACTGACCCCACAGGAGCTGGTTCTGGGGTGCCCTTCCACTGGCACGGGCCCGGGTTCTCAGAGGTGATCTACGGCCGCAAGGTCAGCACGGGCCGGGGCTGAGGCTTGGGGCTTACTGCCTGGCAACACGGAGTGACAGGCTGCTCTCACCCTCAGCGCTGGTTCCTGTATCCCCCTGAAAAGACACCTGAGTTCCACCCCAACAAAACCACACTGACTTGGCTTCAGGATGTGTATCCAACCCTGGCACCATCTGAGAGGCCCCTGGAGTGCACCGTCCAGGCTGGTGAGGTCAGTAGGTGACAGGAAGGGGTCAGGCTGGATCACATGCCACCAGCTAATCCTTGTGCCCCACCCTCCACCAGGTGCTGTATTTCCCTGACCGGTGGTGGCATGCTACGCTCAACCTGGACACCAGTGTTTTTATCTCTACTTTCCTCAGCTAGGTAGAGTGGGCGGCTGGTGAGCCCGGCACACACCAGCACACACCCCTATAGTGCTCACAGGTTTTATTACAGGACAGTGGTGGCAGCAGCCCACCCTCACCTGCTGTTTCTGGCCCAGAAGAGGGTGGAGGTGGGGCTCATGGTCCAGCAGCAGAACTGATGAGGGTGGGATAGGGGACACCAAGGCAGGGATCTAGGGACACAAACTATATACAGGGACTGGGAGCTACTGCCCCAAGGCCCACCTGGGCCAGGGTACTAGGCAAGGCAGGCAGCTCTGGCACTCTCCTGGCCTCAGTAGTCCTCCACCCAGCCGTTCTCGGAGATGAATGCATCAATGACCTCTTTCATGGCCAAGTTGGGGATGAGCTGTTCCTGGGTCAGGGGGCTCCGGGTGACAGGGTCAAAGTGGCCCACACGCTGCAGTGTGCAGTGACAGCAGGTCAGAAAGTGCTCAGTGGTTACGGGCCCTGCTCCCCACTCTTGTTGGCCCTCACCTGCAGGTGTTCCTCAATGTCCTTGCGGTCATAGGTGATGCCGCTGGGCGTGATGCACGGCTCCCGCATAAGCTCGAAGCTGATCTTGCCACACAGGTAGTCTGGGATGTCTCGCTTCTGTGGCACATGGAGTCAGGTCAGGCACCAGGATGGGGACCCGGCTCCAATTCCTGCTACCCAGAGGACAGACAGCTTACCTTTCTCTTCTCGTCCACCTGGGAGAAAAGCTCATCCATGTCTGCTAAGTACTTGTCCTGCGGAGAACCAAGCAGCTACGCGTGGGCCAGATGCCCCTTCCCCCTCCCCCGGGCACCCTCCCGTCACAGGCACGCAAACACGCACACATCCACACGTGGGCTGGGGAACCCTCACGTGCTTGGCCTCGATGCAGGCCTGCTGGGCCCGGACGTGGCCATCATCCTCATCACCCTCGTGGTTCCGCTGGCATTCTTCTAGCTCCCTGGGGGTCGACCAGGAGCTAGTCAGGAATGGGTCTGGCCAGAAGAGATCACACTCCACCCCAACCTCAGGCTTGTTCAGGTCTCTCTTCCCTCCAACTGCTCGCCAGTGCTGGCCTTCAATAAACACTTGTGTTCTTGACTCAGTTAACCCCAGAGTGCTGCCTTGGGGGTGGGTGGGGCCCTGGAGCCTGCCACTACCACAGCCCACCTCTCCCGCTCGGCCACAATAAGCTGAGTGAGGTAGGAGTGCAGCTCATTCTCCTGGTGGATGCGCCGCTCCTCGATGCTGTTCCAACGCTTCTTCTTGGCGATGCGCAGAGCACTAGGGATGTCATCCCCGAAGTTGAGCCGCTGCTCCTTGGCCAGGTTGTAGGCTGGGGGAACAGGGGCTTCAGGTCACCTTCTAGCCAGTCCATCCACCTGGTCCCAGGCGCCCCTGCAGTCCCCTGACAACCTGTAGGCCCACCTCGCTGCAGGTTGGCGATGGCCTCATCATAGCTCTCCATCTCTAGCTGGCACTGCCCCAGGAAGAAGTGTGCCTTCACAGACTGCCCGTCCAATTCCAGAGCCCGCCGGCAGTCGGCCAGGGCCTGCTCATGCTGCTGCATCTTCAGATAGCACAACGCCCGGTTGGTGTAGTACACGGCCACCAGAGGATTCCGGGTCTGGGGACCAAGGCCAGGCCAGCCAGCATGAGGGAGAGCTCCGTGCGCCCTGTCCTAGGCCCTGTCCCGGTCTGGGAGCCCCTGGCTAGAACCAGACACTAGAAATTTCTCAGCTTGGAAGCCCCTGCTCAGCGAGGGTTGTAGAGTGAACTCCCGGTCCTGAGGCCTGCGCGAGCCCACCCCCTCGGGGCTCCCAGAAGGTTTTGTAAAGGTGAGGCTCCCGGTCCTGCGGAGAGCCCCAGCTTCGGGCCTGGGCTTCTCAAGGGACAGGGACCCTGGACCCGGCTTGGGGCCTCAAGCACCCCTCAAGCTCCCACCCGCCCTTCCAGCAACCAGCACTGGCTCGAGAACCGCGCGGCCCTGGCTCGACCGGAACATGATCAGCACCGAGTTCTCGGGGCCCAAACGCCCCCGCTGGCGAACCAAGACCGCCCCGAGGGTCCGGCGGGAGCGGCAGGGCAAGGACTCGGGGGAGGACGCGAGGCCGAGAGCCAGGCCCCGCCCACTCCCCCGCCCGGACGCCGGCCCCCTCCCCCGGCGCGGGCACACTCACGATGGCGCGGCCGTAGCAGGCCGCCGCCTCCGGGTACTTGCGGCCCACGAAGAGCCGGTTGCCCTGCTCCTTGAGCTCCTGCGCGCTCGGGCTCTTTTCGGGGCTTCCGCCGCCGGCGCCCAGCCGCGCGCCGCCCTCCTTCTCCTCCTTGCCCTTCATAGCGCCGCGCGGCACAGCCCGGGCTTCGCTCCCAGGCTCCGCGTCTGGCCCGCCCTTCGCCCGCAGCCCGAGCCCGCAGCCCGAGCCCGCGATCCGCTCGGGCCCGGTCCAGCGATCCGCAACCGGAACTTCCGGCCGCGTGGGGCGGGGCCAGCGGCACGGGCGGGGGCGCGCCTGCGTCCGACGGGCCGCGGAGGCGAGGGGGGCGGGACCGACTGGGCGCTTGCGCTCGAGGGAACGCGACCCGTGACGTCGGAAGTCCGGGACAGCGACAAGCGCGGCCCCGCCCCGCCGAGGCCCCGCCCCGCGTGGACATAGCGGCCGCCGGCTGGCTGCGCGGCCGTGGGGCCTCGAGGGCCGCGGGGCTGCGGTCCTGGCGCCGTACGGGGAGGTGCCGCGGCCGCCAGGGACGGCTGGAAGCTCTGGAGCGGTGGCAGGACGGCCGAACCCCGCTGCCCGAGGCTCCGTCGCCGCCCTCCCCAGGCCCCAGAGGGTTCCCCGCGGCCACCGGGGGCGGAGCGGAGGAGCACGTGGCCGCCGGCGTGGAAGCGGGGGGCGGGGCTTCCGGGGCGGGGCTCCGGGTGAGGTTCCCCCACCCCACCCCGCCCAGCCCACCTCGGCCCGGCCGGTGAGTGTCGTCGCCTGCGGGGGGGCCCGTGGCCGTGACCCCGGGGGTGCGCGGGAGCCGCCTGCCCAGACGCTGGCGAGGCTCGAGCCCCGACTGCAGGAGCTCCGAGGCCGCCGCGCACCCGCCACCCGCGGCCCTGGAGAGGCGGGGTGCATGCGGCCGGCAGAGCCGGCCGGAGCGCGGCATGGCCTGGGCCCGGGCCCCCGCCCGGGCGGGACCTCAGGCCCGGGACCCCTCCCCGCGTGGGGACAGCGCTGCCGCCGCGTGCGACCCGCCCCAGCCTGGCCACCCGCGAGGACACCGCGCCGGCCCAGAAGCGCAGAGAAGCCAGGCTGGCTGAACCCGGCTGAGCCCGGGCCGCTCACCTGCCCTCATGCACAGGCCATAGGGGTCTCGGAGGGAGGGCGGGCGGCCGGCGGGCTGCAGTCTTCGCTGCCTGTGAGGACCCCAGCTCCTCGCACACCCGCCACACGCACATGCCTGGTTTGGGTGCAGGGAGCACCAGGAGAGCTCGGGCCGCCGTGCGAGGGTTGGGTGGGCCCCTGGGGTCAGCTCTGAGAGTGGGCGGGAGGCCGGGCCAGCCCCCAGAGCCCACTGCAGCCACCTCCTGCTGTGTAAAATATTTATTCATTCTTCAAAAAGGCTCAGACCGCAAGTCGTGTGGGAGAGGCCGGGGCAGGGTCTCCTCTAGGGCCACACTTGGGGACCTCCACTGCCTAGCCAGGGAGTCCTATGTCCCCAGGCCTGGGAGGGGGTGGCCAGGGCTGATGTAAGGCTTGGCCTGGACTCAGTGGGCTGCGAGGGCCACCTGCCCCCACAGAGGAGAAGCAGTCTCAAGGTGTACATTCACAGAGGGCAGACGTGCAGGCTCGCCTGGCGGCCAGCCCGCACACACCAGTGCCCTGACCCGGTGGGGCCTTGGGGAGCCCATCAGGGTGGTGGAGGGATGTGGGCGCCTAGCAGGTCGTAGGCGAAGACGTTCCAGAAGATGGCAAAGAGCAGGAAGGTGCCATAGGCGAGCAGCACCACCCACCAGCCACACTGGTCCCGCAGGCGTTCCTCATAGCTGCGCAGGATTGTCAGGCCCATGCTGACTCCTACCACTGCACCTGCCAGGTGTGCCATGAAGCTGGGCTGGGGGCCGGAGGCAGGCAGTGGCGGGGAAAAACGGAGCCACACGGCCCGGCCCACTTCGGAACTCACTGCAGAGAGAGGTGGCAGGTGGGCAGGTGGGAGGCACCCTGGCCTGAGGCTGAGCCCCCCCCCAGCCCCCTGATCCCCTACTTACTGCACACCAAGGCCAGCACCATCCTCAGCAGTTTGTAGGGACACCTCATCCCAGCCCAGTTCTGATGGGGCACGAGACACAGGCTGTGAGGCAGGCCTTGTGGGCCCCTCCCCACACCCGCCCCACAGTCCGCCCTATTACCATGACGACGTTGGCCAGGTGTGCGGAGCACAGGGCGTAGACCCCACCAGAGCCCCCCACCACAGGAGCCCGCATGTCGGTAATGGAGACAGTCAGGGAGCCTGTGTGAGCAAAAGGGAGAGCGGTGAGCGGGAGGCTCGCCGGAGCAGTGGCAGGGGGGCGTGTGCCTGCCTCACCTGCCAGCACCCCGGCCAGGTAGAGCAGGCTGATGCGGAGCAGGCCGTGCACCATCTCCAGGGGCACCCCGATCATCAGCTGCAGGAGCGCGTTGAAGCCCAGCTGCTCCAGGCTGGCCATGTGGGTGTAAACAGATGTGAGGTCGGTGGTGGTGGGCCACCAGCCCTACCCGATGGGGACACCGGAGGCGGGCCCCCACTCACCCAACGTGCATGAACATGTAGGTGAGGAAGCGCCAGGCTCGAGCGCGGTGGCTGGGGTGGTACACCAGGGGGCTCTTCATGTACTCGGGGTGGTAGGTCTGCAGCACCCACTTGTTGAGACGAGCCCCATAGCACAGGAACACAATGATCTGGGGGAGAGGGGCATTAGGGCTGGGCCGGGCCGGTCAGGGGGCGGCTCCGGGGTGGCGGGCGGGTAGGCACACCTGGGCAAGGGTGACTGAGGCCATGAATACGGGGGGCGGGCAGCTGCGGTGCCGGTAGAAGTACCAGTGGCGGTCCACCTCTCGGGGCAGGATCTCATAGGCAACGTAGCGCACGAACCGCTTGTAGACACCCAGGCCCGGCTCGTCCAGCAGCCCGGCCCGGGGCAGCGCCCTCTGTCCGTTGGCGATGGCCCGCTTAAAGCTGCTCGAGCGTTTACTGCTGATCTGGGGGGGCACTAAGCATGGGCCACCGTGCTCCCCGCGCCCCGAGCCACCCTGCGCCCTTGGCCCCCCCACTCCTGGTGGAGGCTGAGTCCCTGCCCCCATCCACACTCCTCCCAGGTGGGAAGGGCAGGCATGGGGACTGCCTGCCCACCCGCTCGGCCGGGACCCTACCCTGCCGTCCACCCACTGTGGCACTGACCAGGTCCACCAGCTCCTGGTAGCAGACCTGGCCCCGCTCGTTGCTCTGGGCCAAGGCCACCAGCATGTCCAGCTTGGCCGGGTCCAGGGGCAGCTCATGGCTGTGCACCAGGCCGGTGAAGGTGTCCGCACCGATGAAACCTGTGTGCTCAGGGTCCAGCTGCTGGGGTCGGGGGGGTGGCCATCGGCCAAGGCTTGAGGTGGGGCGGCCTCGGGCCGGGCCAGCGGAGGGGCGGGCTCCCAGCTCCCTGGGCCAGGCCTCCGTACCCGCGGGTCCTGGGCTCCCCCTCCACCGCTCCTCGGCCTCCCCACCTCCTTCCCGCCCTGCGCATCCTCCGGGCGGGCAGGCTCCCTCCCTCCTCTGCGTCCCCGGCCAAGGCCGCCCTCTCCTGGGGCGTCAGGCAGGGGAGCAGGGGCCCGAGGTCGCCAGGGGGCTGGAGCATGGCCACCCGGCGGTGCCCCCCGCCCCCCACGCACCTGCTCCTGGATAAGCTGCAGCAGCGAGCTCCTGTCCATAGAGCCAGGCGGGGCCGGGCCGGGGTCGGCGGCGGCCGGAAGGGGCTGCTCTGCGGACGACTCCGCTCCGCCCCGGCCCGCCCGCTCCGCCCGCTCCGCCGGCGCGCGTCACGGAGCCACAGCCGCCCGCCCCCGCGAGCTCGCCGCCGCCGCTGGGCTCCCCCCACGCGCGGCTGGGACACGCCCCGGAACAGCTCGGTCCTCGCCTACCGTTTGGGGCTGAGGCTGCTCGGTCGCGCGGCTGGGGAAACTGAGTCACGGGGCAGCCCCCCGCCCCCCTGCATCCCTCACCGCCCCTCACCTTGGGGCTTCAAAGCCGCCTCCCTGGGGGATCTTCCGGTCACCGCGCTGCCTGCGACCTTGCTCTGCCCAGCGTTCCCTGAAGGTGCCAGCTTGCCCATGGGGCTCGCGTGTGGCCGCGGCAGGAAAGCCCTGCGGTCCCACCACAGGGACAAGGCCAGCCAACAGGGCCTATCACAGGGGGCGGGGGGGTCCCTGGTGCAGCTGACCCTGCTCAGTCCACAGCACCCCCCACCCAGGCTGCAGACCCCCCACTCCCAAGCCAGTGCTGGACAGCGGGACCTGCAGCCGTGGACGCCCCCGCGTGGGTACAGACCCCAAGGCCCAGGCCACGGCTGGGATGTACCATCCTAGCCGCCCCTCCAAATCCTGATGCCATGGGCAACCCTCTGCAGCCGCGACTAAGCGGGCGGTCTCCCCAAAGCAGGTGAGAACCGCACCCCTGCAGCAAGGGCCAGCAGGGCTGGGAGAGACGGTGGGGGAGACGCCAGAGTCCTCCAGGCCCTCTGCCATGGCCCAGCATCCCCAGCCCCCTGCCAAGAGCATGTCGGGGCCTGGGAGAGACCTGGGGGACACCAGCTGACCCATGGCAGGGAGGGGGCACCCAGCCACACGGCAGGCGGTCTGTCCCAGCCCCCGGGACACCCACCAAGTAGACACCTGGGCGCCAAGTGAAGGAATGTGGGGACAGGAAGGGCTGCAGCTCTGGTCAGGCTGTGAGGGAGAGCAGGGCACGTTTCTCAGGCCGTGGCCAACCCTGCACAGCAGCAGCAGCCCCACCTGAGTCCCAGATGCTTGAGTCCCAGACTCCCTCTCCCCCCCCCACCTCAGGACAGCTACTGGGATGCTGAGGTGGGGGAGGGGTGCAGGGGTGGGGCAGCCACCAGGAGGGTCTCCATCAGAGCCCCTCAGGCCAGCATGAGACCTGATGGGTACAGAGGCTTCCAGGCAGCTGGTGGCCCACGAGGGACATCTCAGAAGGGGACCCAGGCCTGCAGGACACGTGGGGCTCAGGAGTGGGCGTCTCAGCCCGTGTCAGCGGACTCAAGAAAAATCGTCTTCAGAAAACAGGATCCCAGGTGCGAAAGACAAGTTTAATGAGGAGACCCGACCTCAGGTCTTTGTGACGGGAACCCATGTCCAAACCAGGGAGGATGGAGGCCACCCCCACATTTGGCCCAGAATCCTATCCTGAGACCCCGAGTCCCCCTGGCTGTTGGGACCAGAGAAGTGGAGCCCTGAGAATACCTGGGCCTGGGGTCACTGGCTTCCTCGCCGTGACCCCAGTCCCTCCAACATGTGATCCCTGAAGCAGGTAACGCCTGGCATGTGCAGCTGGGTAGGACGTGCGCTGCAGGGACCTGGGGGATGCCCTTGGGGCTTGGGTAGGGCAGCGGGCAGTGTCCCCAGAAGGAAGTTCCAACGGAAGGCCCCCTCGAGCAGGTGCCCCAATACCAGCACCTGGGGGCCTGAGGCCTCATCGGCTCTTCACCAGGGCCCTGTAGAGCGAGATGCTGAGGACAGCAGTGACCGCAAGCCCGACGGCCCCCAGAGTCACCCGCAGCCAGAAGGAGGTGGCGTGCAGCTCCCCATGGGCCAGGTATCTGCAGGAGAGCGGCGGCTGGACAACCCAGGGATGCCGCCACAGCGCCGCCCGCCCACCATCTGCAAAGCCCCAGAGCCCGGGGCCACGGGGGACCAGGCCCACCCGACACCTGTGGGACCCCAGCCCCAACACCACAGTTGTCCTGCCCTCCCTGTGACAAGGACTAGGGTTCCCTGGGAGGGGGCCGCGCCGGTACCCACGGGAAGGCAGCCATGGCGGCGAGCCGGGTGAAGACGGCAGCGCTGAGCCCGGCCGGGCCCACCCGGGAGAAGGCGGCAGGGGCGGGCAGCCGGTGTCTGCGGCAGAACTCGGCAGGCGCCAGGCCGGGGGGCATGCTGCCTGCAGGCAGGTCCGCTTTGGAGGAGACGACGAGGCAGGGGGTCTGTCCGTCCATGTAGTGACGCTGCAGCGGGGCGGGCGTGTGAGGGTGGGGGGGAGGCGGGGGGGCGGCTGGGGGTGTGCACTGCCCCGGGGCCCGGGTGGGGCAGGCTTGCCTTGTAGACACGGGCGCAGAGCGCGAAGGAGCCGGGGTTGCTGCCATCGAACATCAAGCAGGCCACATCACAGGCGGCATCGGGTGCGGGCGCCAGCAGGCTGTCTGCACTCACCTCGCACAGCTAGACAGAGGCTGGCTTCAGAGCAGGCTCGGGGCCGCCCCTACGCGACCAGGGCTGCCCCCCCGGGGGACTCCAGCACTCACGATGAGGTACTTTTCCTGCCCATTGACCTGCACCGTGTTGATGGCGTAGATGGGGCATTCCTCCGCAAGCTCTCTGCCATCCTGCGGCAGGGGATACAGCTGCCTGACCCTTGCGCCCCAACGCTGCCCAGAGCCCCCCGCCCTCCGCAGATGCTCACCCCCAGGCCGCGGCCGAGGAAGGCCTGCAGGAAGGCGGATTTGCCCACTCCACGGGCTCCCACCACCTTGCACAGGAGAACGTTCCTCTGCGTCTGCCCCTTTTCCTGGTCCAACCTCTTCTCTCGAGTGACTGTGGACGGCAGCCGGGGCAAGCGTGACCCAGGGTGCTTGCAGGCAGGGGTGGGCTCAGGGCGAGGGCGGGCGCGCACCTGTGATAGCGTGGGCCTGGGAGTCCTGCTCGCAGAGGGTGGGGTAGCCCAGGTAACCCAGGTGCTCGAGGCAGCGCCGGACGTCCAAGTAGGTCACCAAGCTGGGGGCAGGAGGGGCGCGGGGGTCACCATGCGGCCGGCATAGGCAGCGTCCCCACGGGTACGCACCGAACTCACGTCCACTGGCAGAGGTATCCGTGCAGAGACAGCCTGCCGGCCTCAGTGCAGACCTCCCGGGGCAGCCAGGGGCCCCAGGGGGCAGTGGGGAACACGCTGAACAGGCTCTCTAGCTCCGCAGGGGAGAGGCTGCCATCACGGTCCTGCGGGCACAGGGGCTGCGGTGATGCGTGCCTGGGGGCCGGCAGGACTGCAACGGTGCCCAATGGTGCTCACGACCCCCTTACCCGGTCGTGCTTCTCAAACACCCTCTGCACAAACTGGTAGCCAAAGTGGTTGAGCTCAGTGCTGCAGCCGGGGGGCACGTGGAGCCTGTGGGGATGCAGGGTGTCCCGGGCCCGCCAGGTGCGCCTGCCCCCCGCACAGCCCCGCAGCCGAGCAGCCCCGCGGGGGGGGCGCACAGGAATGCGCTGGGCCAGGGAGCCGTCTGCTCAGCCGCCGCCCCACCCTAACCTCCCTACACAATGAGGCCCCAAGGGGAGAGGCTGAGCCCGGGGTGCCCCCCCCCCACTCACGGCGGGACCAGGTAGTCAGGGGTGAGCTCCAGCGCGTCTCCATAGCCGAAGCGCCGCAGGATGGTCCATGTGGTCTCGTGGCGGCCGCGCTGGATGAACAGCGTGTTCAAGAAAAGAAAGCCTGTGGCGAGAGAGGCGGGAGGGCAGGTAGCACTGGGCACGGCGCCCCCCTCCCAGGACACCGGCAGGGCACCAGCACGCACCGTCCAGGGTCAGCCGGTTGTCGCGCACCCCTCCAGCCACGTTCTTGCGCACCACCATCTTCACGTCCTCCAGGGCCTGCGGGGCCAGGGGGTGCCCGAAGCAGGATTTCTGTCCCCGAGGGAAAGTGGCCATCAGCCAGCCCCTCAGTGACTGCTCGGTGTAACCAGAGCACCCGAGACCGTGTCCCCGAGGGATGGGGGCCGCACCTGGAAGGCGTTGAGCTCCTCATCACTGAGCGCCTGGTCTAAATCCCGGTCTGAGAGCCTGAAGATGCGTGTGAGGGCTTGGGCACACGCGGGCCTCAGCTGCAGGGACAGCCAGCTCAGCACGTCTCCGCTGCACCACCCCCACCAGCCCGGCCGCCTCACCGGCGCCTGCTGCCCACCTGCTTGGCCTCGGGGTTGTAGAGTGGGGCCGTGGGGTGCAGCACTGCCTTCTGTGCATAGTAGAACAGCTCTGAGATGTTCCTCAAGTTCTTGGCGGAGCACTGGTGGCCGTGGAAACAGACCCAAAGGTGTGCCTAGTACCACAGATGTCAAAGGGGCCTCCCCAGAAGATGTAGGCCCTCCGGGATGGCACCTGCCACGCAGCCCCGCCCACCCACTCACCTCCACACAGGTCTCGATCTCCGGGAACTGGCTCATGATGGGCAGCACAGCCTCCATCGAGCTCCCGGGCCGCAGGTCCGACTTATTGCCCACCAAGATGATGGGGACTCTGGGGGGAGAGGCCCACAGTCACCATGGCTGGAGAGGCTGGCAGGGGCACCCACGTGGGCCCGGGCTGTTACCTGGGGTCCCTGTCAGTCTCCCCATTCACCAGAGGGATCCATTTGGTTCGGATCTGAAAAGCAAGGGTCAGCCTGCTGTCCCCCAGGTTGTCCTGGAACTCATGCCTGGACACGGGGAGGCCCGGGCCCCAAGCAACAAAATCACAGATGCTGGGAACGGGGCCACACGGAACAAACAGTCAGTGGGGCACGGCACGTGACTGAGACCTGAGGGCTTCAGACTTCTAAGCATCCGTGTCCTGGGGGAGCACCCGGGGCTGGCTCAGCCTGGGTCAGCGAGGGCCCATCCGCAGTTCGCGGAGGACGACACGGAGCCGCGTGCCAGCACCGAGGACCCAGGCGCCTCACCTTCTCGATGGTGGCCTCTTCAGACATGTCGTACACCATGCAGACCACGTTTGCCTGTGGGAATGGGGGAAGCTTGACGTGACCACAGGTTCCTGCTCCACGGCGGCCTTGACGGGGCCGGGATCCTGACGCCCGAACCCGGCAGTGCTGCGGAATCCCCCAGGAGGCTGAGGACAGACCCCCCACCCCGAGCCTGACACCCCAGCCCTGGGTCCCTGGGCTGCTTCGGGTACGGTGACGACTTGGGCAGCGAAGAGGACGTCCCCATGAGGCACGAAGGTGCGCCTCGACCTGCCCGTTCCTGCAGGGAACAGGTGCAAAGGGGACCCGCAGGCCTGGTCAGGGCGGCGCGGGAGGACCGGGCGGCGGTGCAGGCAGCCAGGGCGCAGAGCCGATTACCGGCCAAGGTGATGCACACCCAGACTGCCCCCCAAGGTGCAGAGTGGGGCAGTGGGCGCGCGGGGCGAGGCGGGGGCGCGGCCTCACCTTGAGGATCTCGGCCCGGAGCTCCTCCGCGGTTTGCTCGGCTTCTGCGGAGGGAGGGACAGCTGACTGCCGCCGCCGCCGCCGCCGCCTTGCCCTCCCTACCCGCGCGGCGCCGTTCTACCTGAGTAATCCACGATGTGCGTGGGCACCTTCTCCGGGGTGACGTCTGCGGGAATGGTGATCTCCTCCGCGCGGGGCGGGACCTGCGGGGACCCGCATCAGGGCGGCCGCGCCAGCGCCGGAACCGGCCCAGGCCCCGACCCCGACGGCCGCCCGCGCTGCGCTCTCACCTCCGCGGGGAACTCCTCGCCCACCAGCGACAGGATCAGCGACGTCTTCCCGACCTGGGCTGCGCGGGGCGGCGCGGTCAGCGGCGGACACGGGCGCCCCCCCGCCCCCGCGCTCAGGCCCGCGACCCCGGACCCCCGACCCCAGACCTTGACCCCCCCCCCACCGGACCCCGAGCCCGGACCTCGACCCCCGACCTCCACTCTGGACCCCGATCCCCCCACTGGACCCCGACCCTGGACGCCGAACCAGACGCCCCCCGCCCCCGGACCCCAGACTCCCGCACCGCACCCCACCGGACCCCGGATTCCGCCCCCGGACCCCGACCTCGACCCGGGATCCCGATGCCCCCGCCCCGCCCCGGCGCCTACCTTCGCCCAGGAGCAAGATGCGAACGTCCCGCTTCATGGCGGCCGCACGGATCCCCGCCCCGACCCCGGTCCCGACCCAGCTCCGACAATCGCCCTCCCACTCGCCCGCGCTTCCGGCCTCCGCTCGCACTTCCGGCCCCCGCTTGCGTAGCCACAGTGACGAGCCGGGCGGGCCAGAGCGTCCCCGCTGTGCGGCGGCGCCCCCGGGCGGCTACTCTGGGCACTGCAGGCCTGCGCCGGGGAGGGCGCTCGGGGCTGGGTGCTCCGGACACGCTCTCTGGGCTGCATGCTCTGGGGTGGGTGCTCTGGGCACGCTCTCTGGGCTGGGTGCTCCGGGCACACGCTCTGGCCTGGGTGCTCCGGGCTGGGTGCTCTGGGCACACGCTCTGGGCTGGGCGCTCCGGGCACACGCTCTGGGCACACACTGTGGGCTTAGTGCTCTGCAGAACTGGTGCCAGGGGTCTGGTGGAGGCTGAGCTAGGCCCAGGCAAACAGGAGCCTGGAGGGACCAGCTGACAAGGCCAGGATGCAAGGGTCACGTTTATTTGAACTTCACGAGGCCGACACAGAAGAGCCCTCAGGTAAAGAGCAAACAGCACCCCCCTAAGTTCAGGGTCTTGCCCCGCACAGGCCCCTGCACCGTGCAGAGACCCAAGCCTTCCTGGCTCCGCAGGAGGCCCTCGGCTGTGCCAGCTCCTCAGCCAAGCGGGGGCCCTGAGCCTGAGGCCCCACCTGCAGCCCAGGGCCCTGTGACTTCCCACACCAGGATCTCACTGTGGGCGGCAGAGAAGAGCAGCCGGGCGGACGGGGCAAACCTGCAGAGCTGCACCAAGTCGTCATGGCCAGCAAAGTCCTGCATGGTCCCCGACTCACAGTCCACCAGCCTCAGCACACGCTCTGTGGGCAGATGGCACGGGGCTGGGCCCAGGCAGGCAGAGGGCCTGGGGCCCCCCACACCAGCAACCCCGCCTGTGACAGCAAAGGCAACGGGAGGCCCCTCAGAACCCAGGTGCCATCAAGGCCCCAAGCTAGGCCGCTGAATCCCTCTGTTGAGGCCCTGGCACCCCACACCCCTCATCGCCTGACCCTGTGAGTCCCCTGGGGCATGTCCTTACCCCACTTCCGGGATGAGGACCTTGGGGCACTGAGGGGAGAGGGAAGTCTCAGGTGGAGGTACAAGGGAGCCCACTTGGCTCCACTCAAGACAGGCTGGAGTCCCGCTCCACCAAGACTCACCAGCAAAGCCAACAGCCACAAGGCGGGCCCCGGGGGACAGGCTCAGGGACACGGCAAAGAAAGGCAGCAGGATCCTCTCCACCACCTGTGGACGGTGAGCGTGAGCCTTGCTCCCCAGCCCTGGTCCCTCGGGCTCCCAGCACCACCTGGGGTGGGGGGGTCCACGTGCCTGCTTCTGGCGCAGGCTATAGAAGACCACCTCTGGACGCACGCTGAGGCCCGCACACGCCAGCAGGGCCCCATCCCAGGGGCAGAAGGCAACAAGAGGGGACGGTGGGTGGCTGGGACCCTGTGGAGGGACGCAGCACGCTGTGGTCTGGGGGACAGGCACCGCCCCCGCCCCTGCTGCCCCCAGAACCTACCTCCATGAGGGTGGGTGACGGGGAACTCAGCCAGTCCACGAGCTCACAGTGGCCCTGCGGCCAGTCGGCGGCCCAGACACTGATGCGCTGGTCTGAACTAGCCGCCAGCCACAGGTCAGCCCACTGCGCCCCAAAGTCTCCATGCTGGAGGTGGGTAAGGCTGGTGGGTGCCTCCTGCCCTGCTCCACCCAATCTCCTCCCCTGCCCACATCCCCTAGGCCAGGCCCTGCCGGCTCATGAGGCCACCTCACCTCTTTGCTCCTGCTCTGGACAGTGGAGATCAGAGCACCACGGTGGTCACTCAGTACACGGAACGTCATCCCCGTGCGGGGGCGGCTCACAGCCACAAACCCATCCTTGTCTCCGGAGAGGATGGTCTGACCTGTGCCAGGCAAGGCCAGTTACCTCGTGAGCCCCCAGGCCCCGGCCCCAACGTGCGATTACTGTCGGCCTGTGGGCCCCTGCCGCTCACCATCAGCAGAGTAGGCGATGGCCGTCAGTGCAGCCCAGTGGGGGTGCATCTTGAGTTCCATTGCAATTCGGGAGATGCTGAAGACTCGCAGCGTGCCGTCACTGTAGCCCGCTGCCACCTGCTGCTGCTCCGGGTGTGCACAGGAGGCGGGGCTCCAAGCCAGACAGAGACAGCTCTGGGGAGCCCCAGGAGGGAGACATGAGCACTCCCCCGGGGGTGGGGGACAGGGGCTGAGCCCCACAGCTGGGACAGGCACTCAGGGAGGATGTGGCAGCCAGGCAGGGTCGGGACAGGGTCTGGCTCAGCCCTGGTGCCCCCAGTACCTGGTTCAGCACCTGAAACTGGATCAGAAGCTCCATGCCGGCCAGGGACCACACGCGCACACTCCCGTCATCACTGCACGTGGCCCAGTGGGACGTGCTGGGGCTGAAGACCACCTCGTTCACCTGCAAGGAGCCAGCCCCCCGAGGCCACGCGGCCCTCAGGCACAGGGGAGACCCGGCGCAGCCAAAGCTGTTTTGTTTTTAAAGATTTCATTTTTTGAAGTGATCTCCTCCCCCAGCGCGGAGCTCAAACTCACAACCCCAAGATCAAGAGTCACACGCTCTTCCCATTGAGCCACCTCTGCACAACCCTGTCGGGCCCCAGCCACCTCCGTGGGCCATAAAAAAACCATCCTGGCCTGCCTCCCACGTGTCCTCACGAAGACCTGGGTGGAATGAAGTCACAGGAAGCCCACCGGCCAGACCCGATGGCTCACTTGCTAAGACCATGAGCAAGTGATGGTGGCAGCGTGACACCATGGGATGCTGTGTCCCCAGAGGACTGCAGACTGAAGATTAGGGAGACAGCCCGGGCAGGAGCGCAGGCGAGAGGAGCCAGACGCCACACGCCCCACGGGAAAACAGAGTGGTCTAGTCTCGAACGTGAATTGCGAGGGGAAGCGTGAGCCCGTAATGAATCTTATTTAAAAAATAACAATTCAGGTGTTTGGCCGAGCAGCGACTGGCCTCCTGGGACTCAGACCACGACCCCCGAGTCCGTTTCCCACAGGAGCCCCCGGGCTTGAGAAGCAGCAGCCACGTGTGGTCCCGGGCGGAGGGGAGCCCAGACCCTTGTCCTTCCAGACGAGGCAGGCATCGCGGGCGACCAGCAGCTCCGGCCAAGGCCCTGGACCTGAGTGCGTGCCAGCCAGCGGACAAACCACCCGATGTGCTCTATCTGCGCCGAACAGCACTTGGCCTTGACACGCACTGCGCCGCACAGGAACGCACGAGGCGTCACGCGGGGGGGGGCAGACGGAGGAACGCGCGTGGCACAGGCAGCCAGCGAGCCCCCGGGCTGGGCAGGGCAACGGGCGGAGTGGTCATGGGGCTTCTTCGCGGGGACATGAAACGCCCTAAAACCTGCTGTGGTGACAGCTGTCCGAGTCTGTGATGACCACGCCACCCCAGGCTGAAGCGTGCGGGGCGTATGGCGCGTCCTCGCCCCTTAACTCAGACCCGCCAAGCACAGGAAGCACCTGCTGCTCGCCCACCTCAAGTTCAAGTTTCTTTGATGGCAACCGTTATATCTGAGCAACTAAACACGTTAAAGGAACAAAAGATTCGGGAGCCACCTGCAAGAACCCACCCCTGGGGACAGATGGCGCTGAAGAGACGTGACGGGGGACAGTGACCCGGAGAAGAATACACCCACGTGCCCACGGGCAGCTCACACAGATCCTCGCAAAGCCTGGGCCGCGCTGCTGGATGTCCACGGCCCGCGCCAGCGCTCAGGGGACACGGCCGGGAAGGGAGAGGGCCCGCCCTACAGCGCCTGCCCCGGTCTCCCCTGGAGAAGCCCAGCTCGTGAGGCCGCCTCCCGCTCAGGATCAGGCCGGCAGTGCCTGCGACTCCCGCCCAAGCACAGGGTCACTGTCCCAGGGCCAGTGGACAGGCCAGCAGCCCCACGCACTTCCCACTGGACAGATTGCCCCTGACCAGACGCTGCTCTGGCCTCCAGGGAATGCAGAGCCGAGGGGCAGGTCTGACCCAGGTGGTGGGAGGTTCCAGCACAAAGAGCCTGGTTTTTTCCAACAAACAAATTGCAAGAAAAAAGTACCAACAGAAAAAGGACAGACGGAAAGGCCACACCGAAACGCCTGGGGGACACGTGTGGGTCCTGCGTGGACCAGGAGACCAGGGAGCACACAGCTCTTGGCGGCCCCCCCATCTCAGCCCTCCCGGACCACAGACACCCACAGCCACCTGACGGCTGCGGGGCCCGGGCTGGAGCACACGTGGCCTCCCGCCCTCTGTCCAGGCTGGAAATGCCCTCACCTTGCTCCTGTGGCCACTGATGAGGCGCGTGCTGCTGCCCTCCGCCCAGCTGACGTACCAGAGCGTGCCCGCCGTGGTGCCCACCACGCCCATGTCCATGGTGTCATGGAAGACCGCGCTCACGATGGCCCCATCCAAGGTCAGCTCGCGCTCCATGAACACAGAGCTAGACCTGGGGCGGGGGCGGGGGCAGCGGGCTGAACGGGCAGCGAAGTCCAGGGGACCTGGGGCCCTGTCCCCACCCGCAGCCCCCGGGCCCCCGTCCAGGACCCGGGGACCCCAGCACACAGGCACACACACACAGCCACTCACCTGGCCCGGGAGCCCTTGCACCTCAACTCGGACACGGTGCCCACGGCCCACAGGCGCAGCCGCCTCGTGTTGCTGCCGCTGACCAGCCGCGTGCCCGAGCACAGCAGCACTCCTGGAGGCGGGAGGCGGGAGGCGGCATGAACCGCTACCCCCATGTCCCCAGCTTGAGCCGAGCCTCCCGGGAGAGGCCAAGCCCGGGCCGTCGGGCCGCAGGGGCCCTGCCAGGCACCCACCGATCTCGCCATCGTCTGCCTCCCAGGCCAGGAAGCAGCAGCTGGCGCTGGTGTCCCACACGCAGACCTGACCGGCATTGGAGCCGCAGTAGAGCAGAGGGGCAGCCCCGTAGCAGAGCGATGTCAGCTCGCCCGTCCCCAGCTCCTCAGGGAGGGGCTCTCGGCGGCCCTGGGGGACACAAGGGCGGCGCGGGTCAGCAGCGTCCAGGGACCCGGCCAGACCCCACCCTCGAGGACACACCCCACATCCTGGCACCTGGAGGCTGCCGTTGGGGCCACGCAGGAGCCACAAGGTGACAGCATGTTGGCCCACGCAGGCCAGCTCGCCAGCGTCCCGTGGGTTAAACGCCACCCCATGCACTGGCTCTGGGAGGCAGGTGACCGACAGCAGCTCACAGGTGGCCACGCTCCACAGGGCCAGAGTGCGGTCACCGTAGTCCCCTGGCGAAGACGCATGGGAGCTGTATCAGCGACCCCCGGGTCCCGGGACGGGCAGGGCCGTCCAGGGGCCACCGTCCCTCCACAACCCACTGACCCAGTGTGACAAGCAGCTCGTCGTCTGGCGAAAAAGCCAGGGCTTGCACAGCAGTGCTGTGGTAAGAAATGAGTTGTCGGCAGGAGCCCCCCGGCACGTTCCAGATGCGGATCTGGCAGCAGGAGGCAGTGCTGCTGCAGCCTGAGGCAGAGGCCAGGACCTGGCAGGCAGGAGGGTGGGCGGTCAGCGGGGGGGCCGAGGCCCGCAGGCCCATCGGGTGCTGGCAGGAGGGGAGGCCGGGACGACGTCCCTGTCCTGCTGTGGAGCCGAGAGCCACCCCTGGTTCTCGGGCATCTAGGCTGAGGCGACCATGTCCACCCCGGGTGTGCCGCGGGGGTGCCGGCCAGCACCTGGGCATCGTGGCTGAGGGCCAGCGTGGAGATCTCCTCGGGGTGGCCGAGCCAGTGCTGCTGCGCGCCAGAGTGCAGGTCCTCCACCACCACCAGGCAGCCGCTCGTGTAGGCAAAGAAGCCTGTGCAGGGAGGGCACCCGTGAGCCGCTGCACCAGGCCCACGTGCATCCGAGGCCACAACACAGCATGCAACCAGGAGAGCATGGCTCGCTCGGGGACTCCTTCCTGCGCCCAGTCCCCACATGCACGGCTCCCGTGCTCTCCCTGAGCTAACGCAGCGCATGGCCCCACCTGTGTCTGGCTTCCATACCACGTTGTCCCGCCCATTCCCGTTGTAGCCCATGACCGCCTTCAGGATCAGACGCTCAGCGCTGCCACGGGAGATGGAGGCACTCTGCAAGGACACGTGCAGGACGCTAGGGCGCCGCGACGGTGCCTGCCCTCCCCGTCAGCCTGGGCCCTGGGATAAAGCCTCGGCGGATGCAGGCTTCCGGGAGGAGACAAGCAGTAGGAACACGGGCCCCACGACACGCACAAGAGGCCAGCGGAGCTGGGGGGCAGGAGGCAGCTGGAGCGCAGGGAGGCCAGGGGAGGGCAAGGTGGCCCGGGGCGGTCTTGGGAGGGCACAGGGCGAAAGGGGAGGGCTCGACAGGACACCACCTGGGGCCGCTCTGGGGGCAGCAAGACCACGAGAGCCTTGGCCAGCCAAACCAGAGTGCAGCACACGTGGACATGTGGCCTGCACTGGGACGGCCACCAAGATCTACGTCAAAGCCCTGTCACCGAAGCTGTGAGCTTTGGGAGCCGCCCCTAGGACATCCCAGGAAACCGAGTTCCCTCAGGGAGAAAGAACACACCCAGAAACGACGGGGCCATGACCCCCGCTCTGGGCCTGCGAGGACGCCCCCCGACTGACCTTGGGCAGCGAGGAGGTCTTGTAGCGTGCCATGAAGTGCTTGTAGCAGTCTGGGCGAGCAGAGGGATGCACCTGGGCTTTTCTGGTGCCCCGAGCACCTGATGGGAAAAGAAAGAGGCCTCGAAACATCAAAGCACCCGTGACCGCTCAGAGATCCCTCCCCACACGCGGTCACCGGGCACCATGGGGTGGGACATGTGTCTGCCCCACAGCAGACACAGGGGCTCAGAGGGCCCAGGTGCCACACCCCACCCCTGGCCTGGCCCCGCTGTGGCCTCAGGCTGGCCGCCTTGCCCTGCAGTGAACACAGCTCAGCTCAGGGCAAACCTCAGCCCACAGGGCAGCTGGGCCTCCCTTAGGCCCCTGGAGCCCACGAAACACCATGGTCGGTCATGAGCGTCCCTGCCACACCCTGCTGCCCCTCTTCTGCTTACTGGGCCAGCCATGGGGGTGGGGACACATGCTGAGGCCCCGGGGGCCCCCTGGAGACCCCCAGACCCTGTCTCCAGCCCCGCTGGCCTCCTTCACCAGCACGGGCAGGCTTGAGTCCTGATGGAGCCCCTCAGGGATGTGGCTCTCCTCCAAGGGTCCTTCTTCATCTGACCAGGAGAAAGCACCTGGAGAGATGGGGGGGAGGGGCAGGGAGAGGAAGGAGCAGAGCTCCACGGCCCCTGCCCCCCCACAGGCCTGAGGGAAGCACGCAGACTCGGTGGCCAAGCCCTACCCTTACCATCATCATCCCTAAGGGGTCCCGCACAGATGCCCAGCTGCAGTGGGGACGCCTGCGATGGCTCGGGCACCTGCTGCCGGGGGAGCCCATGGGCCCCGGACACCACGTCCTCCAGCTGCCTTGCATCCGGGCCTGAAGACAGAAGCAGCCAGCCTGTGCCACACACCCCAGGTGTGCACGAGGGCCCCCGGAAAGGAAGGGGTGCTACACCACCCGCAGACAAGGCCAGCACCGGAGACCGTCACAAAGCCCGCCCACGAGGTGGGGCCACTCACTAGCCTCGCAGGTCGGGGGTGCCCCAGGTGAGTCTCCAGCACTGCAGAGGCAACAAGAGATCAGGTGGGAAGGGCGCAGCAGAAGGCCGACGGGCGCAGGCCAAGGGCAGGCACTTGCCTTCCTAGAGGCGACCTCTCCAGGGGGCCCAGAATGTCCCACAGAAAGATGGCATCCCCCACACTGAGGAGCCGCTGCTGGTCAGGGGCGAAGGCCACAGCTCGTACAGGCTCTGAATGACCGATATACACCTGGGGGCAACGGGAGTCACACACAGGGGCCGCTGAGGTGCAGCTGGGACACCATGGTCCTTCCAGCACTGGCACGTGCTTCAACCTGGCAGACGTAGCCCGCAGACCCGGCTGTGGGCCCCCCGACCCGCCAGACCGGGGCGTGAGGAAGAGGCTCTCAGGGCTGTCAGGCCGCAGCAGGCATGGGGACGGCGGGGTGGTCCGTGCCCGCCCGCCGTGCCCCAGCCTGCAGCACCCACCTGGCAGCCGGGGCAGGCCTGCGTCGGGTAGTCGCACACCTTGATGGCGCGGTCCGTGGCCATCAGCAGGAAGCGGGCATCCCTGCTGAGAGCCAGGGAGGGGCAGGCCCCAGAGTGGACATCTGGCAGCTGCAAGAAGCGTTCTCGTCAATGAAGGAAGATCAGAAACCACAGACCTGCAGACTCTCCCTTCTCGAGAAATGCCACCTCTCAGGAGCAGCAGGTGCCCAGGGCCTCCCCATCCTCAAGGCACCACAGGCACTAACACTAGAGCCCAGAGGAAAGACATGAAGCTGCAGACAGCGGCCCTGGGCTCACCTCCCGAACCACGCGGCCCGACGTGCTGTCCAGCACAACGACCGTGCTCGACGAGGTGGACACCAGCAGGTGGCCAGGGGGTCCAGGGCCAAAGCAGAGGGCCACCGCCGAGGCCAGACGAGCGCTGGCCAGGTCCAGGGCACTGACATCCACTCGCAACAGCTGGGGGAGAGCCGTGAGTGGCTGCCGGGCACGACCTGCAGGCCGAGTGGGGGCCCCAGAGCCAGAGCACAGGTGGGCAGCCTTGGGCGCCCCGTGGCACCCCTGCCTGCCTGTGGCTTACACATTCTGTGGGAGTTGCGACCCAGAGGCTCAGAACTTCTCTGGGGTGAGCACAGCCTCCCACCCACCCCCAGCTCCCTCCCTCTCCACGCAGGGTCCTCCCTGACTCCCTCTGCCCTGCTGGGACCCAGGGCAGCGTGGGACGGCGCGGCAGGGCTGTCTAGATCTGCTGGCCAAGCCAGCGTGACAGAAGGCTCCAGCCGACTCACCTCCTCTAACGAGGCCGTGTTCATGACGGTCACCACGTACTTGGAAGGGCCCACGAAGGCCAGCAGACGGCTGTCCCCGCTAAGCACCAGGGCATTGGGGGTGGGGTGGGCGTCCTGGCACACCACGTTAGCTGCCGGCAGCGCGAGGGCACACGGTCAGCTGGGTGGAGGGGGCGCCCACGGGAGACACAGGTCCGGCCCGACCCCGCCCCCAGCTGTGGGGAACTCCACACCAGAACCGCGCACAGCCCACAGAGCCCGGGCACAGAGCGGCGCGACACCAGCGGGCACAGCTACTGCTGGGGCGGGCGGCTCCCCTGGATCGGGCTGGCCCAAGTTACAGCGGCCTTGAAGGGAAACAGATGCCCCGGGTGACCCGACCCCCACCGACTACTCAGGCCAGTCACTGCCTCCGAGGGCATGGACCTACCGTCCTGGAGGCGGTAAGCCCTAAAACCACACTCCAGCTACAGGCGAGCCCCACCCCACGGGGACCTGACAAGGACACGGTCGGGAGGCTGGATGGGCAACACAGGGGTCTGACCTGCCACACGCAGGACGCAACACTGGGTGGCGGCGCAGTGGTACTGGGCCAGGGTGCCCGAAGAGCAAGAGCTGAAGAGGAGGCTGCCATCGGGGCTGGTGGCCAGGCCGGTGACGGGGCCTTGGTGACACCTGCACCACAGGAGAGCGTCGCCCCGGCCGTCAGCTGCACCGTCCCAGACCTCTCACGGCCCAGCCCGCCCTGGCGGAGTTGCCCCAGGCAGCAGAGGGCGGGGGCCCTGTGGACGGCCCTCCCTGCCCTGCCCTACCCAGCTGCCCACGCACCACCTCAGCTTCCAGCACGGGCGTCCATGGGGCTGCAGACAACCGGGCACCCACCTGTGTGCCGCCAGAACCTCGGCAGACTCCAGGCTGAAGGACCGGACGGCCCCGCTGCTGAAGCCGCAGAATAAGACTGGCCGCGTGGGGTGGAAGGCGACGGTGCACGGGGCTTCCTCGGGGGACCTCAAGTCATGAAGCTGGAGGACGGATCCGTGAGGGCGCGCAGGGATGGGGCCAGCAGCTGGTCTCCAGAGCCTGGGAGCCGGTCACTCTGGGGCGCCCCCACGGACCCTCCCATGCTCCACGTCTGCCTCCCCCCCACACCACGGGCACTCATACCGTCCCCCTGCCACGGCGCCCTCTGGCCATGCCCCACCTGCTGCAGGGTCGCCAGGTCCCAGACACGCACAGTGTGGTCCTGGGACACAGTGGCCAGCTGCCCACGGCTGCACTCGGTGGCCAGGGCCAGCACTGGAGCAGTGTGCGAGCGAACCAGCACGCGGTACTCCCGGGACGGCACATCCAAGAAGCCTAGGTGGCCCACGGATGTGGCGGACAGCACACGCAGACCATCTGGGCTGACGCGCACCCAGGTGACTGGCCCCTCATGCTCTGCGGACAGGGTGGCTCCGTGACCTCCTGGGCCCCCCGCGAGACACAGACGAGCCCGCAGCCTGCCGCTCCGGGTCTGTGCACTAGGGGAGGCAGCTCCCTGCTGACCACCACTCCTGGGTTAGGGCTCCACCCCCTGGAGCCCAGGACTGACCCCTAGCCAGGGGATGGCCCAGGGACACGGCCCTCCCACAGCAATGCACGGCAAGATGGCACAACAGGCCCACCTGCCTCCAGGAGGACAGAGGAGAAGTCCAGCGGCCAGAGGCGCAGATAGCCGTCCTCGGAGCCCACGGCACACGTGGTCTGGGACGTACTGAGGCTGCTGATGGAAATGCCAGGGCCTAGGGAGTTGGGCAGAGTGAGCCCACCGCACCCGGGCTACTGCCCGCCACACAGCAGGGGACCCACCTACCCGAGCCGAAGGTCTGTTTCTGTGACACAGGGCTGCCAGGCATCCACACAGGCAGGAGACGGCGAGCGTGCCGCACGGCCATGTGCTGGTGGTCGATCTCCAAGATGTGGCCACTGCGGCTGCACACGTAGCTAGTCAGGAAGGCAACGAGTGAGGGCCGAAGAGGCAGGTGGGAGCAGAACGCAGGCGTTACGGGAGCGAGGGCAGGGCTCACAGCATATGGCCATCCTGGGCCGGCCCGAAGGCCAGGTCGGTCAACTCCAGAACACGGTGCTCCCCCAAGTCCACTGGGCAGGACCGCAGCTGCCCCCCTCGCAGCCGCCACAGCCGCACGCTGCCCTGCCCGCACGACGCCATCCTACAAAGCACAAACGTGACGCTGTGAGTGGTCCCCAAGCCAGGGAGGGGCAGGCTCGGCCCCCATCTGGGCCCACAAGCTGCCGAGACCTCATCCTCACAGGGTCACCTGGTTTCGTCAAAAAAGGCCACCTCGAACGCCTGGATGTCAAACCCGGTGTGCGTCTTCGCGAGAAGAACTGGCTCACCTCCTCGCCCCACCTGGGCCGTGCCCCAGGCCACCACCACCTGCAACGAGCCCGTACTGGGTGCCCGCAGTCCCCCCAATCCGCCTGGCCTCCACCCGAGTGCCCAGTGGCTGAGGCCCACCAAAACCCACAGGTGTACCCCTGGGCTTGCATGCCCCAAGGTAGACGTGTCTGAGGAAAGACGAACAGATGCCCCAGGTACCCCTGACTTCAGAAAGGCTGACATATCACCGCGGTCAGCAAAGACGGCAAGTGGTAGCATCAGCACCGACTCTACCCGCCAGGCCAGAGAACGTGAGGCGCCACGCGCTGCACTCAGGGCAGGGGCTCCGGCAGGGGAGCGCCACTTCCTAGGCCGTCTGGCCGCCACCCGCACCCTGGCACCAGCCACCCCGCCTCCCCGAGCAGCCCCGTTACCGTCCTCCCCTGCCGGTCCTTGCCGACCCCACAGAGCAGCGCCCCGCCGCGGGAGAAGCTGCGGATGGACAGAAAGCGGTCAGTGTGGCTGCGGCCGGCCCCCTGGCCCCGTCAGAGGCCCCACGCCCACCTGAGGGAGCAGAGCATGTGGGCTGGGCTCCGGAACAGGGACAGGCAAGCCCCGGTCCCGAAATCCCAGAGGCGAAGCATGCTTGAGGGCCGGGCCTGGGCTGAGGCCAGCAGCACGTCGTCCCCATCCAATGCCAGGGCAGAAACCTGCAGGAGGCGGCAGCGTGATGGGACGGCCTGGGCCCGTGGGCATGAGCCTCCCGCTGCAGGGCCGGTGGCGCCCACCTTGTCAGTGTGGCCGAGCAGGCAGCGCTGCTCCTGGGTGTCGGTGCGCAGAATGACGACGACCGCGTGGCAGGGATATACCACAGCAGACCCGTCCTTGGTCCACAGGGCCTGCGTGCGGGGCCCAGAGGCTGACGTCACAAGCTCAGGCCTCCGGCCTCCCCCAGCCCAGCACAACCCACCCCATGCCAGGGGCACACACACGAGGACCTCCTGCAAACCCCGTCTGCACGACCACAGATGCTGGGCCTGAGGTGATGGACGGCAGGACCCACAGACACTGGTCTGCGTCCAGAAGGACCCGGCAAGCACAGAGCCACAGACCCGACATCGGTGCCATGCCAGCTCCACACGCCGGACAGGCATCAGAGGCTCACAGGACACGGGACAGGTCCAGCTCCCGGGCCCCCACCAACGCCGCCTGCACTCGCGACACAACAAACAGGCCCAGCCCCAAGTCGTGCACAGACCCGGGCAGGCGACCATCCCTGGCTTGAGAGACTCAGGCCTGAGGAAGTCTAGACGTGCAGACGTGCAGAGCCACCTCGGGGAGACACGGGGCTCTACCCGCCCCCTCCGCGGAACTGACACACACGAGCCAGCGGCAGCTCTGCACCCCTCACCCATTTGGTGCTGTGGCCCCCGAAGCCAACGACGCCCTTGAGCCTCAGGATTGGATCTGGGAGGAAGCTCTGAAACAGGCAAACACGGGGAGACCGCAGGAGGTGAGGCCGCCTGCCACGGGGACCGGCCAGCCCACACTAGCTGCTCCCCCCAACACAGCAGAGTAGCCCTGGGGGCTTCTGCCAACTGCACTAGGCAGGAAGCCGCGTGGCCACCGTGCCAGCCCCCGGGGACCCCAGCTCCTGCCCCCACCTGCAGCCCAAGGCCTCCAGGGATCAGCGGCTCGTCCTTACTCTTTGTCGGAAGGGATGCTCGGCCAGGGCCGCCACCTGCTTGCTCTGCTTTCCACCGAAAGGCTGGAGAACGACAGGTGATCAGAGGCCCAGCAGCCCTTGCACACCCTCGTCAAGGCCCCACCCGCCTCCCTAGGGGTAGGCACTGACCTTGTGCACGGCCACATCCCCCCGGACCGCGGGCACCACGGTCGACTTAGGGGTGGACACGTCAACACCATTGCCAGCTGCGTACTTGTGCCTGGCGTGTGCGGAGGCCGAGGGCTTGCTCCCCGTGGGAACCTCTGAGCGCTCACAGAACAAGCTGACCTCCGGAAGAGGCCTGGGCACCGAGGGGGCCTGGCAAGGCTGCAGGAGCACAGGGGCCGTCAGCACCCTGAGGCCACCACCCTTTGGGGCCGTGTGCAAGGGCACAGGAGCACTCACGGCTATGGAGCCCGCGGAGGGCGCCCTGTCCTGGGCGGCACTGCTGGAAGCCCCAAGGTGAGGGAGAAGCTGCGGCACACGCCCCAGAAAATCTGGAAGGGAGCGAACGGCCACAGAAACCACTGGGCACAGTACCCACCGGCCTGCAGAGAACATGGCCGCAGGGCCTCACCCACTGCGCCCCCAGGTCCCAGCTGGTGCCACAGCTGCAAAGGCTGAGAACACCAGGCCCCCCGCGCAGCCTCCCACATGTCTGGCACCTCAGGACAGCCCGAGGCTAGCCAGCCGCAGCCTCACATGGCGTCACCACCCCGTCTGAGAGCCTCCGTGCCCCTCGTGACCCCCAGGCCCACCTGCCTCAGGAGGAAAGCAGCTCTCCTGAACCGGCCCGGGAGATGCTTCTGAGCTGTCACTTGGAAACCTGGCCCGGCAGAGACGGTCTGTGTCCAGGGGCCGCCCTGACCTCCCTCCGCCGGCCCCCTGGGGACGGACAGAGCCGCTCACCGGATGTGGACATAGTGGTCGTACCAGCTCTCGCCCTTGGGCACCGGGAAGGCCATCTCCCGAGGCACAGGTGTGACACGGAGCCTCGCCCGCTGGGCCTCAGCGACCGTGAGAGCTACGGAGAGCAGAGCTGGTCTGGGAGGGAGGCCACCCAGCTCCCTCTTCCAGCCGAGGTGAGTCCCGAGGGCAGGGCCACCCGCCCAGCCACCGAGGCTCCAGTGCCCCCACGAGCCCTGGGGAGAACGGCAGACAGCGGACAGGCAGGCTGCAGCTCACTGGGGTCAAAGCACAGGTCGCTGGTGTAGAGGCTCTTCACGAGCAGGCTGGCGCACAGCTTGACGCTTTTGAGGTGGCCGTAGCGCCGGTTTACGTAGACCAGCAGAATATCGCGCAGGTCGAGCTGCAGACACGTCCAGCGGGCATCAGAGGCACCGACCCTGGTCCCCCCTGCAGAGCGCAGCCGCCGTCAGGCCTTGGGTGTCCGCGCTCCACCCAGCCGGCTGCACGTCGCCTGGGCCCGCCCCTCCCAGACCCGGCGGCCTGTCTGTGCCCCGTCCGAACGTCACCTTTCATGGCTGCCCCAGCCCCACAGATGAGGGGGAATTGAAGCCACGTGGCGGTAGACTTGAACTCCTTGAACAGGTTGGAGAAGGACATGCGAACGACCTGGCCGTCCTGCAGGGCAGCGAGCGTGAGGACATGCGGGGACAGGGATGGGGAGGCCGCGCCGGGTGCCCACTCCCGCTCAGCACCTCGGTGGCCACATCCAGCTGGATGACGAAGTGCTTGCCGGGCAGGGGCCTGAAGAGCACGTACAGGTAGCGGCCCGTGAGCCCCAGAGACTGCGTGCTGGTCCCGGGGAGCTGGATGTAGCCGCCGGAGGACGGGGCGCCCCGGATGCGGTACACGGCGCAGTGCAGGCTCTTGTCCTAGGAGACAGAGAGGGGGCGGGAGGGGGGGCCACGCGGCCTCGCCAAGCCCAGGTCGCGGGCAGGGCCCCACTCACGGTCACGGCGGCCACATCGCCTTCCCTGCTGCACCGCCTCCACTCCCCCACCCTGCAGTGTCGGAAGACGTTCACGAACGGGCGCTGCCACGCTGCGGAGCGGGGACGGGAGGGTCAGGGCGGGTCAGGGCCTGGGGGGCCTCCTGGAGGGCAGAGCTGGGCCTGCGCCCCACCGCCTGGACACTGGACTCCGGTCCCCGCCCCCCTGGGTTCCCTCCAGCTCCCCGCCCCCCGGGTCCCCTCAGCTCCCCGCCGCCTGCCTCCCGCCCCCCAGCCCCCCGGGTCCCAGGCTCCGCGCGCCACTACCCTTCGCCATGGCGCCGCCGCTCGCACTTCCCGCCTCGGCCGCGGCGCCCACGCAGGGCACGCAGCGCGCTTGGCAACGGCGCCCCTGCCGTGAGCCCGCGGCGGCGTCACGTGACCCGGGGGCGGGGCCACGGCCACGTGACGGCGCGGGGGCGGGCTGGTGCGCGGAGGCCGCCGCGGGAGCCGGGAGGAGCGCGCCGCGACAGCCCGGCTCGGCCTCTCCCCCCCCGTGTCCCCCGGGGCCCCGGCAGCGCAGCCCGCGCTCTGCTCAGCGTCCCACCGGCCTGGGCGGCGGGGAGGCCCGAACCCCGATTCTGCGCCCCGGGGCCCTCCCCGCGCTGGCGGATGCGGAGCCGGGGGCCAGGCTGGGCGAACCGGGCAGCCCGAGGAGAGCCCGCGGCTGGCGGGCCCGGGGAGGCCGGAGCTGGGGGGAGCGGCAGCCCCGAGGTGAGGAGGCGCGGCCTAGTTCACGCGGACCTTGGACCTTAACCCCCACGCGCCAAGGAAAGGCCACTCAAAAGGGCAGTTTCTCAACTTTATTAGCCTACAGCTCCTCCCTGCCGGCCGCAGGGGCTGGTCCCTGGGCACAGTGAGCAGGATTGAGGTCAGATTCGGCCCCCGGCCCCCGGCAGCGTGGCACAGCTCGTCCAGGGGCTCAGCAGGTACAAAAGTCCAAATGCTGGCACTTCAGGTGTGGCCGGCTCCTGGCCAGACTCGGGGTGAAGCGGCCTGCCTCGGCGGCAAAACGGGGAGCCACGGTCCTTTCCTGGCGAGGGTTCCGCCCCTTGGCAGGGCTGGGCCCTGCACGGCAGCATTCCTCCCAAGGCAGCTAGGAGCAGTTCGTGATCCTGGCCAGGAACTGCTGCGCCCACCACTCGTCCAGGTCAATGGGCACAAAGTCTGTGGGCAGAGTAGAAGGCTGGGCAGTGATGCCGCCTCCTGCATCACTCAGCATCTCCCCCTTGGAGCTGACCACAGGCCCCTCACCCAGACCCAGAGGTAGCAAGCAGTAGAAAAAAGCAGGTCAAGTTCAAGGGCCCTCCCCAACCCCCTAGGGCTAGAACCCAGCTGTGCCGGTCAGGGTTGGAGGGAGTGGAGGGGACTCCCTGAGAGCAGGGGAGGGCTCACTCTGCAGCCGGGGGTTGGGGTTCTTCTCCACGTACTGCACAGGCCTGGGCCCACTATGGCCATTGGGGCCACTGCCCAGCTGCTGCTCCACTTGCTGCCAAGCTGTGGGGAGAGGGCAGTCAGGCTGAGCCAGGCCCCCAGCATCCTGTCTCCCGCCCAGGGCTGGGTGGCCACCCTGGACCCCAGCCAGGAAGTGGGAGTAGGAAGCCCACTGGACCATCGTGGGACACGCAGGGGGACAGCTTAGGAAGAGCCAAGGCCTCCAGTTACTTTGAATCAGGTCACGGTGGGGAAGAGGAACAGGCCCCAGGCCCCAGCTTCAGGCCTCGACACTACCTTCAGACACAAACCGGACGTTTTCCTCATGGGCCAGTGTGTAGGTCTCTTGGACTCCCTCAAAGGATGGAGACGTGGCAGGGGGCCGCCGGCCGTTCACCCGGTTAAACACAAGCCTTGGCCCCGAACTGCGGAGTGAGGACGAGCTGGTCAGCAACTGTCCTACGCCCTGGTGATGCCTGGCAAAACTCCAAGAGCAGCTTCAGCCCCCCCCGCCCACCATGCCAGGCCCAGCCTGAGCACTTCCTTGAACTTCAGGGCAGCAGCTGCTGCTGCAGTGGTGGCTGAGGCCTCTCTCCTGCAGGCCCAAGCCCCGGGCAGCTTGATTCACACCGGCCATGTCCAGACCCCCAGCAGGGCTCCATGCTCAAGGCACACAGGCGCTCCTCCACGGGTCTCTCGGGCACCCCTACTGCACCTGCATCCCACCTCCCCAGGACCAGCCAGGCCTCCAGCAACCCGTGTTCTGGTATGAGCTACAACCCGACCACTCCGACCCAACCACAATTGGCCAAGCACAATTCAAGGCCATCTTCTCCCCCCACAGAAGCTTATCCATCTCACCAACGTCCCCAGTGTGGAAGGACCCAAACAAGAAACAGGCCATCTGTGCCCTTCCGGCTTCCTGGCTGCCCCAGGCTCCGTGGGGACGAACCCTAGGTGATGGTCTGACCAGACAGCACTTCGCCACTGAGTGGGGAAGCCGTGACTTCAACCCCAGCCCATCCCTGCAGGTCCCAGACGAGGCCACACTCTTGCCCAGGGGGTGGGAATGCCGAGTGAGGAGATGGGATGTCCAGGGAGCCGCTGGGCCTGTGTCGAGGATCAGAGGGCAGTGGGGGGGGTGGGGCGGGGTCCCAGGGCAGCAATGGGCTGCCCCTGCTGGCGGCAGCAACCTAGCCCTGCACACACAAAGCCCAGGATGGGGCTGTGGAGGGAACGGGGCCCACACCTACAGCAGGAGGTGGGAGCCGGGAGTCCTGGGCTGCACGTGCCACTCCGCCAGGCACTCGCGGTCCCGCCGGCCTGCTCGCCTTCCTGGGCTCAGGTGCCCCACCGCCGCTCGGGGGTCCTCCTTGGCTGAGAGGGGCACTAAAATAAAGAGGAGTGTCTTGAGGGGCACCTCCCGCCAGCTCCAGGCCAGCGGAGAAAATGGGGAGGGCGGGGCTCCGCCCAGGCTGCACCCACAGGAGGGTGCGCAGCTTTGTCCTCAGCTCAGACAGCCCTTGCCTGCACCCCCCCCCCGCCCCAGCCGGCAGACTCCACCAAAGTGCAGGCTGGACATCAAAAAGGGTGAACAAAAAAGGGAATTGCAGCCATGGACTGTGCATCACGGGGACCAAGGCGGCGGCCTGACCCGGCTGAGCAGGGGCCCCAGCAGGCAGGCACCCCCTAACCCATAAAGGATCCTCCAGGGCCCTCTGGATTCAAGGGCACTGGCTCAAGCGTGCACCTGTGGCTGAAGGCCACACTGTGCCCGCTCAGGGAGGCTGCCTGGAGGCAGGCTCGGTGTCCCTGCTCAGCACCCACATGGGCATCCTCGCACTTGGCCTCCTCTCTAACCCCCAAGGTAAACCGCCCACCCATTCCCAGCCCAGGGCCCTGAGCTCCGCAGGGAAGTGACCCGCCCAAAGTCACATGCTGTAAATGGGCAGTAGTCCCAGAACTGAACTGCACACCTGCCTGACCTCAAGGCCCACAACTAGAACTCCCAGGCCTGACCTGCTCGCCTGACCGTGGGGGGGGATGGGGTGTCACACGGCGCCATTTTATCTTCTTCCCAGCAATGAACATGACCTCCACTATCTGCTGTCCCACGCTGGGAGCAAGAGCCGCTGAGCCACAACCCCAGCCTGCATAATTAGCAGGTCAGCTGCTTGGCCGAAGCACCTGCAAGTGCACCAGGCACCAGGTGTGGGGGATGCAGCGGGGGCCCAGACACCCCCTCTCATGAGCAAGTCAGGGTGAGGGGTGCTGGGTAGTAAAAAACCACTACCGAGGAAAAACTAGAGAAGGTGGCTAGGAAGGCGGGTGGAGCCCTTTTGGAGGGTGGCCCCCTGGGAAGGCTCAGGGGGGAGGGAGGACCCACTGGCCGCTTTGGCCTCCCAGTAGGGTCTTTTCAAGGCCACTGGGGCTGGGAGGGGGCAGCCCCGGAGGAGGGCGTGACCTCAGAGGGAAGGGGTGTCTGTTCACGCCTCCCTAGGGCACAGAAGACCCCGGGGCGCACAGCACTGTGGCAGGCTGGGCCTTGTGCTCCCACAGGCCGGGCTCGTGGGCACCCTCCCGACCTGGCAGGCTGCAGTGTGCCCAACTGGCTAAGGGCCAGCGGAGGGGGCAGGCGAGGCCCCCCGGGGGCCTTAGGAGCTCTAGGCACGTGCTTTCCTGGCACTCCCCAACCCTGCCACGGATGCATCCTGATTTCATCAGCAACGGGACTCTGTAGAGGGAGGTGCTGTGCTTCTCCGGGTGAGAGGGTGGGGGGCACCCTGGACCACTCTGCTCCCGGGTTCTCTGCCAGGGTGAGCCGTGGTGGCTCTATACCTAAGTGTGCTTTGCTCTGCTGGGCGGTGGGGCAGCCGAGAGCACCAAAGCCGAAATCTCAAGACAATATTTTAGCACAGCCTGGGTCTCAGGAGCTGCCCCCGGAGGCCCTGCTCACCTGTCTCCCCAGGACACACCTGTGATTGGCCTAGAACGTTCCCATCACTAGGATGCAGCCTCAAAATGTCCACATGCCCCCAGCAGAAGATCCCGGGGGAAGGGTCTCAGCCCAGAAAGATCCCCACAGGCTGCCCCCACCCACCCCCGCAGGCCCCATCACCCGAGCCCTCCTCAGCGCTGAGTCAGGGGCCCTGAGCCGGCAGCCCTAGCCGGGAGGCCTCAAGCCTTGTGGGCCTGGAAGAAAGCCCCGGGTCCAGGAGATGCGGAAAGTGAAACCAAAGGTCCAGAACTGAGACAAAAAAGGAACCGGTTCAGCTCCGAGGGATGGGGGGCGTTGACCTCCAGGTCAAGGTCACGTGGAGGCCAAATTGGCCAGGACTGAGACTGCTGGGGCGCTGGAAAGGCCGGAGGCTGCATGTTCCCGCGAGGCCCCAGCATCCGTGGGAGGCCTCCCGTGGCAGCCAGGGTGCTCTGGGTGAAGGGCACAGGAGGGCGGCGCCTGGGCGCGGGGGGGGGCGGGGAGCCACGTGCACGCGCCGGGTGGGCAAGGCCAGGGCTGGCAGCCTCCCGCGGGGCCGGAGCCAGGCGGCCTTCGGGCCAGCACCCTGGGAGGTTTTGCTCCCGCCTTCCCGGGCAGCTCGCCTCCAGCCGTGGCCTCGCCGCCCAAGGTCGCCCGGGGCACGGGAGTCGGCCGCCTGGAGTCCTCCGGTCCGGGAGCCGCTCCGCCGCCTCCGCGCTCGGGCTCCGCCGTCCCAGGGGCCAGCGTGGAGCCGGGCCTCGCGCTCCGCCGCCCGCCGGGGGTCAGGTGCCAGGTGCGACCGGGCCCGCGGCCCGCGGCCCCGAGCCGCCCGCGCAGGCGGGGGTCACACGCCCAGCCCCGCGCCCGCCCCGCGCATGTGGCTGGTCTCCGCGAACCTTCCCCAAGGTCAACCGCTCGGTCCCGGGCGGCCGCCCGCGCGTCTCACCTCGACAGGGGCCAGGGTCCCGGCGGCTGCGCCCGCGAGGCCGGGGGGGCCGGCGGCGCGGGCTGCCGACATTTCAGGAGCTCGCCGAGCCGGCTGTCCACCTGCTGCTGCGGGGGACCTGCGGGCACCGGGCGCGTCAGCCACCGCCGCGCCCCCCGCGCCCCCCGCGCCCCCGCGCCCCGCCCGCGCACCTGTGCGGCGCTGCGCCACCAGCTTGCTGGGCCCTTTGCTGATGGTGTACATGGTGCGGAGGGGCCGCCGCCCGCGCTCGCCGCCGCGCGCCCTGCCCTGCCCTCCGCCCGCGCTCCGCTCCGCGGGGCCCGGGGCGCGGCCCCTTTAACGGGCGGCCGGCGCGGCGGGAGGGGCGGACCCGCTACACGCCCTCGGCCCTTAAAGGGCCCGCGGCTCCGGCGGCGCTGGGGCCGCGCTCCCGGCGCCCCACGCGCACGGCGCGCACCTGGGGCGGGGCCGAGGGCGGGGCCAGGGAGCCGGGGGCGGGCCCTGCGGTGGGCAGGGCAGGGCCGGGCGCGGGGCGCCGCGATCGCCGCAGGTCCGGGAGCAGCGCGCCCACCTGGCGGCCTGGGAGGCGGTGCCCTCCCGAGCGGCGCCCCCGGGGCCTGCGGGCCCGATGCCCCCCTGGGCTCCACGGAGGCCGCCCCTCGTCCAGCATCTGGTCGCGTCCGGTCCTTACCATACCCACCGGCGCCCCAGGAAGCGGCCCACCCACAGTGGGGCTCTGCGATCCGCCCCCGTGCCGCCGCGTCCACCGGGCCCGGCCCCGTCTGAGAGCTGTGCCCCAGGGCGCCGTGGGGTCCCGGGGCCCAAGCAGCCCGGCTCCCCCCACGCCGCGAGCAGATTGCGCAGGGGGGCGGGGCGTGACGGCAGGAGGAACTCCCTCCCCACCGCCCGGGGCAGTGTCCCTCCCCAGCGCTCCCCAGGCACCGAGTGGGGGCGGTCCCCAGGCCTGCTCAGCTACTCCTCCGCGGGCTTGTAGGGGGGCTGGACTGGGGCAGGCCTTCCAGCCTGAGGGGAGTGACCGCGGCCCCCCAGGCAAAAGCACGTCCGGGGAGTGCAGGCCTGAGCAGCGCCCCCCCCCTCCCCGGGCGGCAGGGCACAGCCCTGCCTCGGCTCTCCTGTGCTGGCCCTTGGCCTTGAGCGCTGCTGCCTCCAGCTCCCACGCCCCCAGGAGGAGAGGCGCAGAGGGAAGGGCCCCCAAGGTGACACAAGCTCTGAGAGCACCTACTCCCTCGGGCACAGACCCGGGCCTGCAGGGGCCTCCAGGACAAGAATAGGGCCCGGGATGGGCGAACAGGCCCTGCCTGCAGGCCAGGCGTAAGGTAAAAGGTTGGGTCCAAGGACGCCTGGGTGGGTCTACCTTCGGGTCAGGGTCTGGTCCCGGAGTCCTGGGTTCAAGTCCCAATCAGGCTCCCTGCAGAAAGCCTGCTTCCCCTGTGTCTGCCTCTCTCTGTGTCTCTCATGAGTAAAATCCTCATAAAAAAAAAAAAAAAAAAAAGTTTGGGTCCAGAGCCCTGAGCTCAGGGGAGAAGCAACTGAGCACCAGTGATGCTGGCAAGTGGGAGGAAGGTGGGGGTGCGCACGTGCCCAGGGGTCCCCAGGATAGCTGATGGAGGAGGAAGGGGGGTGCAGACAGTGACGGCCCTCTCCCCCAGAAGGGCCTTCTGGCAGCACACCTCCTAGGTCACACCCTCGCCTGGGGGTCTGACCTTCCCCACACTACAGAGCCCTGGAAGGCAGGTTGGTCGTGAAGCCCCTGCAGGGGCCAGTAACCTTACCCACGGCTGGAGAGATTGGGAACCTAACCCCGAGCTGGAGCAGGGACCTGGGGGTGGGGCCTCCCCCTCCCCCACCCCAGGCAAGCAAGAAGAGAGGCCGGCAGGGTGAGAAAAGGCCTTTGTGTCCCAGACCCCAATCATCATAATAAAAATAGTGTTTTCCTGTCTTTCTGAATATGACACTAAAAACCCTATCTGAAAGAGAACAAAGTGGTTTCATTCTAAGTTTCTCCTTCTGAAATCCACGCCCTCAGCAACCCAGACTGGAGGACTGGCCTCTGCCAGTGGAGGGGGGGCCAGCGGACCCCCAGGAAAGGCCTGGCTGCAGGCTCCCGCGTTGGCTGGCTGCCGTCTTCAGGGATTGCTTGGCCATTCCTGAACCCAAGTGCGCTAGGTTGAGTGGTGGCTCCAAAAATACGTCTACTGGGGACCTCAGAATGTGACCTTATTCAGAATAAAGGTCTTTGCAGATGTAACTCAGGCAAGGTTTCATGATAAGGCCATCCTGGACCAGCATGGGCCCTAACTCCAGTAACGTGTCTTTGAAGGAGAAATGAGGGGGATGTTTGGACACAGGTACAGAGAAGACTAGGTGACAGTGGACGCAGAGGTGGCCACAGGCTGGGCAGTGCCTGCAGCCTCCAGCAGCAGCACACGGTGACCGAGTGTCTTCCTGGAGGACCTTGGGAGGGAGCAGACCACCTTATCTTGCACTTCTGGCCTCCAGAAGTATGGGGAAATAAACTTCTGTTGTTTCAAACCACTAGGTTTGGGGCAGCTGTAGGAAGCCAGCGAATGAGGTGCAGTGGCCGTGGGCGGCCGGGCAGGGGAGCTCCTGTGTGTTCATGGTGCGGGTGGACACTCACTGGAGGTGGCCCGGCCGGTACCCTGCACACAGGGCCGGAGGCTCCGGGGGGCTGCATGGGAGCTGGGCTTCCCCTCAGGAGAAAAACTCCAGGAGGCCATGCAGCACAGGCCGTGGGGGGCGGGGGGGACAGACACTCCCAGGTGCCCACTGTCGCAAGTTCACTGCGAGTCCCCGGCCCTCCCAGAGTCCAACAGACGTCTGGAAAATGTGTGTACAAGTAGTCACACGCGTGTGCAAGTACTCACACACTGCAGACGCCGAGGGCCAGGCTTCTCCGGCTGAGCTTGGGGGGGCGTGTTGTGCGTGGGTAGCTCGCGCAGCGTCCAGCCCACAGTGACCAAAATGTGGCAAGTGCTGTTGGGGGGGGGAGACCTGCTGAGTATGTAGGTCTTGCCCGAGGCAGGGCCGTAGGACCCGGAGCAGGAGACCGGCCCATCGGGTTTGAGCCTGCGGTAAAGGAGAGCAACACTGTGCACACAACACGGGCACCGACGCGTGGGGTGTCCCCAGCCAGCGATCCTCCTCCTCCGCGGGCACCCAGCGGGCGTCCTACGATTTCACTCAGTCCTGACACTGTGTGCCTGGCTCAAGGGCAGGCCCCGGCTGAGGGCCCCGTCCCATGAGCCCGCCCCCACCTCAGAGGCCACCCACAGGTCCAGGCTGTCAGCCGTGCTGCTGGCCCCCCAGCTGTAAGTCGGGGTTCTCACGACCCCCTTCTCGGGCGGTAATTTGCTGGGACGGCTCACAGACGTCGGGGGAACACCTCACTTAGGTTTCCTGGTTCATCATTAAGGGGATCTACTTGGCAACATCAGATGAAAGACATCCATGGTGGGGCTAGGGGGTGGGGAAGGGGTGTCGAAGAACTTCCAGGACGCGCCCCTCCCGGCACCTCCACGTGTTCCCACCCGAGGCTCCCAAACCCCTGCACCTCAGGCTTCTGCAGAGGCCCCGTGGTTGACCAAGGCGCTGGTGCTGGGCGGGGTGTGCATCCTTCTGATCACCAGCCCACAAGCTCCGAGAGTCACGTGGTCGGTGTGAACCCAGGTAAGGGGGCAAGGGGTTTGTTCCGAACCACCGCACAGGCAGCTCACAGCCTCCGCAGGTGGAAGGGTACAGGGAACTCCCGGCCCCGCCGACACACCAGGTGGAGGGAAGCACAACGTGATTCCTGCAAGGAAGCTCTGGGCTGGGAAACGGAAAGCCCACGGCAGGGTGGTCAGGTGACAGTGCCGGGGGCGCCCGTCCAGACCAGCCAAGCCTACACCACCTCCCGACCCTGCGCTGCAAGCCTGCCCCCCTCGCCCGCCCCAGCCCACACCCCGGTCCCTCCCCGGCGATCAGGGCTAAGCCTGCGGCGGGCCCATCCTCTGAGCTCCGGCCAGAGGGACTTCGGGTGGGGGGGGGGTCCTTGAAGGACCGCACAGGACGGGTAAGCTAGCCCCCAGCCTGCACGGCAGGGCCTGGGACACAGGGGCCCGAGGCTGACAACAGGAAGCACCCCTGGACATCAGATAGGGTTCCGGCTTGATCCGCGGGTCACCGACCCCCTCACGACGTCCCCGAAGCCTGGGCTAGCGCCGGTCAACTCGGCGTCACCGGGAAGCCCCGAGCCCCAAGGGGTCCCCGCTGTAGGCCCGCCTCCGCCCCGCCCCCAGAAAAGCCCCGCCCACCAGGGAACCTGTCGCAGCCCCACCCCCGGTGGAGCCCCGCCCACCAGGAATCTGGTGGCAGCCCCGCCCCCGGCGAAGCCCCGCCCACCACGAACCCGGTCGCGGTCACGCCCCCAGGGAAAAGCCCCGCCCACCAGGAACCCGGCCGTGGCCACGCCCCACCGCCTCCTACCGCCCGGGGTTGTCATGGTTTCCAACGCGCAGGCGCGAATCCAGTCTCCCCCGCCCCCACCTCCGCTCCGTGCTCTGTAGTGCTGGGGGCCCAACAGACACCTCTAGTCTCCCCTCCTGAATGCGGACCCGGCGCGGCCGCCCCCGCCCCGCCTCCGTTCCGGCCCCCGTCCCCGCCGGCCGACTGCCAGGCGACCAGGCGGTCTCCCCGCGGAGCAGCGCGCATGCGCCGTGATGCTTCTGCGCGCAGAGCTGTTGCATCACAATCCCTTAGGTCTCGCGGGCGCAGTGGCTGCTAACAGCGCCGCTGGTGTAGTGGTATCATGCAAGATTCCCATTCTTGCGACCCGGGTTCGATTCCCGGGCGGCGCAGTTATCTTTACTTTTTTCTTTCATTCTCCTTATTTCAACAAACTAATTTGAACTAACGACACCGATTTCAAAAGGAAAGAAAACCAGAAACGACGAAACACCCATTTCGGTGCTGAGCCAACGAAGTGGTTTCAGAGAAAGGGAGAATGACACGCGCCCTGAAGATACCGGGGCGTCCGTGGGCCCCTGGGTGCGGAGCCGACGGTCACCCGTAAGCCAGCACCGCCCCAGCACACGGCCCGGCGCGCCCCCCGGGGCTGCGGGCCCTTTAAGTTCCCAGCAGGCCTCGCGGCGCCGGACTACGACTCCCAGCGGACCGCGCGGCGCCGGACTACGACTCCCGGCGGGCCGCGCGGCGTCGGCTCACGTATCCCGGCGGGTCTCGGAGTGTCGGACTGCGGCTACCGGCGGGCCGGCGGAGCTGTTGCGATGTTGGTGGCGGCGGCGGCCGAGCGGAACAAGGAGCCCATCCTGCGCGTGCTGCGGCAGTACATGGACCCGGCGCAGCGCGGCCTCCGCGTGCTCGAGGTGGCCTCGGGCTCCGGCCAGCACGCGGCCCACTTCGCGCGGGCCTTCCCCCACGCCGAGTGGCAGCCGTCCGACGTGGACCAGCGCTGCCTGGACAGGTGCGGCGGGGCGCGGGCGCGGGGGCGCGCGGGGGCGGGGGCGCGCGGGGGGCAGGGCCCGCCCCAACCGTGTGGCCCCTCCCGCAGCATCTCGGCCACCACCCGGGCCCAGGGGCTGTCCAACGTGAAGGCCCCGCTGTACCTGGACGTGACCTGGGACTGGGAGCACTGGGGCGGGATCCTGCCGCAGTCGCTGGACCTGCTGCTCTGCATCAACATGATCCACATCAGCCCCCTGAGCTGCACGGAGGTCTGCGGGGCGGGGGCGGGGGCGAGCCCCCCTGCTCGCGGGCACCCCCTCGGTGCAGGGGAGGGGGCGGCGGGCCCGCGGGGGTCACGTGCGAGACCGACAGCGGCTCCCTCACCCCCAGGGGCTCTTCAGAGCCGCGGGACATCTGCTCAAGCCCAAGGCGCTGCTGATCACCTATGGGGTGAGTGCTCCTGCCAGAGACTGGGGACCTCCCCCGGCGGGTCCGCCCTGACCCCGTCCTGGCCCTCCCGGCTGTCCTCCTTCCTGGACTCTCTCCGTTGGGTCTCCGTGTTGTCTCAGTGGCCTTGTCCCCCCTGCCTGTCGTTAAAGCACACCCAAGGTCATGCTTCTTGAACATGGCCTTGGTCACCTGCCTGTCTCTCTGCACCCCCTTGGCTCACCAGCTGGTCCTCAGCTGTCCCCCATCTTGGGGGCAGGGAGGGGTGCAGCGTCCTTTTCGTTCTCTGGGTGCCGGCGTGCAAGACTTCCTGTGTGTCGTCTGAGGAATGGCTGACCCCGTGTCTGTGGGTGGCGGGCAGAGCCGTGTTCCCATCTCCGCAGCCCTATGCCATCAACGGGAGGATCACTCCGCAGAGTAACGTGGATTTTGATCTAACTCTTAGATGCAGGTAAGAGCTGGGGGTGGCTGGCTGGTGTGGGGGGGGAGGTGCTGGGCGACCGCTCCCGTCCCCAACTCCATGGTCGATCTCCTCCGCCTCCTCCCCACCGCAGGAACCCTGAGTGGGGGCTGCGGGACACGGCCCTCCTGGAGGACCTGGGCCAAGCCAGTGGCCTCCTGCTGGAGAGGATGGTAGGTAGGAAGGGCTGGGGAACACCGGCGACTTCCAGGGGACCAGGTCAGCTGCTCCAGCCAAAGCCTCTCCCCTAGGTGGACATGCCGGCCAACAACAAGTGCCTGATATTCCGGAAAGAGTAACTCCCTCCTTCTCTCGCATGTTTGTGTCTCCATGGGGCCCCCCTGGAACAAATCCAGATGCCAGCCCCTGCCTGCCAGGGCTGGGCCATGAGGGGTGGCCTGGACCAGTCTGGGGGCTCTTGGCCGGAGGCCACAGAGCTGCTCAGAACCTGGGAATAAAGTGTTTTCTGCTGCTCGCTGCCAGTGTCAACCCCACATCCTTGTGGGACCAGTCCCCGTGGTGCTAGGCGGGCAGGCTGTCCCCGAGGGTTCTGTACCCCGGGGCAGGAGAGGTGTGGCCTGTGGGTTGAGGGCTTGGGGGCCTCCTGGACCACGCTGCCCAGCTCCGGGGACAGAGGAGAGTAGAGGACTGAGGCGCGGCTGGGGCAGGGCTGAGCCTGGCTCTCCTGCCACAAGAGGTGGTACCCATGTCAGATCGGTCACAGCTTGGGTCATGGCTCACGCTCCTGCGGGGAAACAGGAGGTCCCTGAGGAGGGGACGGCCGGTGTGTGTGGTGACCAGCTGGAGACCAGCTGGAGGGAAGGCGAGTGGGGTAAGGGTCCCCCGGGAGGACAGGCACCTGTAGGCCGCGAGGTCTGGAGAACACAGGCTTTATTCAGGGGGGTGGGGTGGGGTAGGCGGAGCGGACACGGGCGAGGGGTTGGGGGTGCGGGGGGCTAGTCCTGGAAGCGATTCAGCAGCTCGCAGGCCTTCTTCTCCAGCAGCTCTGAGATCTTCTTGACGCGCTTCTCGCTTGCGGCGCGGACGTAGCTGCCTGCATCCAGCACGGCCACACCGTCTCGCACCTCCCCCATGATGACGAGCGGGCCGTCGCCGGCCGTCACGTTGGGGCAGGGACAGGTCCAGTCCATGCCGCTGAGCGTCACCTCCAGGTACTTGGTGCCCAAGAACCTGAGGCCCATCTTGTCGTCCTTGAGCACCTCGTCCAGGGCCACGCGGGCGATGCCGCCACCCCCCACGTCGGGCTCCTCCAGCACCTCTGTGAGCCGCCCCACGATGGCGAAGTCGCTGCGGCACAGGCTCAGTGCCAGCTTGCTCCGCAGGCGGCAGGCCCGGCAGGGCGGCGTGCGCGGCACGGGGCAGGCGTCCTCGCAGCTCGCGCGGCTCTCGAAGTTGTTGCTGTTGCCCTCACAGCCGCCATACACGAACGGGTGGCACTGCTGCAGCAGTGGGCTGTAGGCCCAGCGCGCCTCCTGGCCCTGGCAGCGGCCCTGCACGGCGGGCAGCACACAGGCGTCACCGGGGCCCCGGGCGCAGGCCTGCTGGCACGCCTCGTACGTCTCAAAGCCCCGGCCGCCGCCGTCGCAGCCGCACTCGGGGAAGGTCATGCAGCCCCCGCGCTGTGGGTCGAAGTGCCAGAGCACCAGGCCGGAGGGCGCGCCGGCGCAGGCCCGCGGGTCGGGCAGGCACTTAGCTGGGGCAGAGGGCGCAGGCGCTGCGTCCCGGGCTGCGTCGCGCCGCACCACGGACAGCGGGAAGTCGGCGCGCAGCAGGCCGGCAGCGTTGCGGGCGGTGCAGGTGTAGAGGCCGGCGTCCTCGGGCCGCGCGTTGTACAGCACCAGCTGCCCAATGCTCGTCACCACCACGTTGCCGTACATCTGGTCCGGCCGCATGATGAGGGTCTCCTGCTGGTCGCTCTGCTTCTCCCAGGTCACGGCGGGCGGCGGGCGGCCGCTGACGTCGCAGTGCAGGCTGGCCGTGCCACCCTCGAACACGGCCTGAGGGGCGGGGCTGCTGTAGAGCGCGGGCGGCACGGGCGCGGCCCCAGGCGGTGGGCGGGCCGTGGTCTCGGGCGGCCCCGGGCTGCTGGGCGGCCAGCTGAGCACATGCTTGCAGGGCACGACGCGCAGGCGGAGGCCACGCAGGCAGGCCTCGGCGTCCATGTAGCAGCGGTTGTAGTAGGTGAGGCCATCCGAGGCACAGGTGAAGCTGGGCTCCTTTTCACAGCGGTCCCGGCAGCGACACACAGGCTGCCCATCCCAGATGTCGCAGTCGGAGCCCTGCTGGGGGCACGCGAAGCCCTCGCAGGAGGCAGGCGGCGCGGGTGCGGTGGGGCCGCCGTCGGGGAAGCGCGCCGCCACGCAGCTCTGCAGCCCGCACACGTTGGTGCAGCACTTCTCGGCAGCGGCGCAGTCCTGGGGGGGGGGGAGCGGCTCAGTGTGCGCCCCCGGGGGAGCGAGACTGCACCCCTACTGCCCCCCCCCCGCCTCCCCTACGGAGAGCTGGGCAGGTTTGCGGGAACTCCCCTCCCGTCCTCTACCGTCCACTACAGCTGCTCCGCGGACCATCAGGTGTGCGCGTCACGGAAGCTCTGAAGCATCAGGTCGTCCCCCCACAGAGCAGCTCTCATGGCACAGATGGGGACACCAAGGCTGGGGGGGCGGGGGGCCCACGGGCCGTGGGGCAGGGCTGTGGGCTCAGGTCCAGGGGCGGCCCCCACCTCTCCACCCCACTGGTCCTGAGAACAGCTGCTGGTCCCGGGTGGGGATCAGCACGTTGGGGAGTGACAGGGGCTCTTCATCTTCAGACCCGTGAAGGCCAAGACGGGGTGCCCCGGGGCCCCCCGCAGCAGAGTGTGAGGAGCCCGAGCGGGGAGCCGACTCCCAGGCCGGGGCCCAGTGCAGCTGCTGGGGTCCCCCTCTGGGTGGGGTCTGGGTTTCCCCTGGGCTGGTCTGACCCCCCGGGGCAGGGGTAGAGCTGAGCTTACCTGGTCGCCGATGCACTCACGCTCACAGGTGCTCTGGGCGTCCACCCACAGGTTGGGGCTGAGCTGGTTGGGGCACATGCCCGGATGGCTCCTGGGTCCCGGCGGCATGCTGGCCCCCGAGGTCGGCCCAAGCACGAGGAGCAGCAGCAGGAGTGGCCTCGGGGCCAGCATGGGGACCGCCGGGCCGGGGGCCAGGGGACGTGACCACCAGGCCCTCCTCAGGCCCTGCCGAGCCTCCTCCCTGAAGGCATCTACCTTCCCGGGCCCCTGGCTGCTCCCCGGGGCTCTCCCCGGCCCCCGAGGGGGGAGCCCAGGGCAGATGCTTGGTCGGGACACCACAGCGCCAGGGGCTGGGTTAGGTCGGGGCCTCTCCAGCCTGGAGCCAGTCTGCATGTGGCGCCGGCCCCTCCCCTGCCGGGCCCCTCTGTGGTCAGCACAGGGCAGGGGCTAGCGGAGGGGGCGGGGAGGGGCAAAGGCCCAGGAGCACAGAAGACACTGGCCAGAGGGTCACAGGGGCGGGGCAGGGCAGGGCCCACTCTGGCGGGAGAGCTGCTTAAAGGAGCCCCTCCTCCCGCCGGCCAGCAGGCTGGATCAAAGCTGCCGGGGCCTCCCCAGCAGGTCAGAGGAGGGGGCTGGGCTGGCCGGCCGGGGTCTCCCCAGGGCAGGTCCACCCCCGCCCCCGGGTCAGCACGTCCAGGGGAGGCGGGGGCTCAGGCTCTGCATCTGGCCAAGTAACCAGCCGGCATCCTGTTTCCTCAGGGAGAAAATCCCACAACTGTCCCCTCAATCCTCAGGGTCACGACCTGCCAGCGGGTCCCGGGGTCAGGACAACCCTTTCTGCTAATGGGGAAGCCCCTGGTGACCCGCAGCCCACGGGGACCGATGGGGACTGGGCCATGCACTCGCCGCCCAGTGCAGACTCCCCCATGACTGGACGAGGGGGGTTGGCCACCCACGCAGGCGGCACAGCCCGGGCTGGGGTAGCCGGGGCCTGGGGGCTTGGTTTGGGCTGACGGCTCCCGGCAGCAGTGCCCCCACTGGCCACCAGTCCCGGCAGGCCGAGGTCATCCAAGCTCCCCGGGGGCTGCTCAGGCTTCTGGGAGGAGGAGCCGCCCTAGGCGGGCAGGTGGGTCTGAGGCAGCCAGGACGAGGCTGTGTGCCCTGCCCTTGCAAACGCCCCAGGGCCCAGGCCCCACGCGCCTGGCCTTGAGCCTGACCCCAAGCCGCGAGGGAGGGGCAGGGAACACATGCGGACAGGGCTCCAAGCCCAGCCCCGGTCCCACCCTCGTGCCCCCCACGGCCCCGGACGGAGCAGAGCCGTGCACCAGGCCTTCGGCAGGCGGCCGCCCCGGGCTGTGCGGGTTCTCGGCAGTGGTAACCCGGGTCTTGTGCCACCCTCTCTGGCAGCACAGCAAACCTGGCAGTTAGGCCCCGTCCACACGGTCCCCCGGGGGGCAGCGGGGACTAGGGCTCCAGCCCTCCCAGCCAGGACCTGCACTGCACCCAGCACAGCACGTCACGTCCACCTACCACTTGACCAGTTACAACCAGAGGCTTTAATTTATAGAAAACGTGGCCTGGAAATCAGAGCTGAATCACGTTTACTGTACAAAGAAATGAAAACCGTCCAAAGTGAGCACAGGAATGGTGTGTCCGACAGCAGCGAAGGGTAGTGTTGACAGAGCGAACACAGGGCCATCCACTCCTTGAGACGACGTCCATGTGCTTGGGTTCAAAGTCTGAAGAGAGGGGCCGGCCGGTAGGACGGGACAGGTGTGACCTTCCCTGCCTGCCCCACGGCCCGGACCGCGGCCCCCACCCCGCTCCCAGCACCCAGCACGAGGGGTCCTGGAGCCCGGGGCGCGGCCATGAGTAGGAGGTAGAGCTGAGCACCAGTGGGACTGGTGGCCACGCCGCCATGCAGGCGGCAGGAGGGGCCAGGCCTCCTGCTCAGGGCTGGCTGCCGGCCGCTCCGGGGGCTCGGCGTCCCTGCCGGAAACAGTCCAGGGAGCGTCACGAAGACCCAGGTCTGAGTGGCCCTGGGGATCTGCGCCCCAGCAGGCTCGGCGCACCGAAGCCGGGGAGCAGAAGCCAGGTGCCCCGGAGGCTGGGGCGGGTCAGGGGCGCTCGCACAGCCCCACCCTGCGCCTCAGCTTCACGCGGCAATGGGAACGTAAGCGGAAGTGACGGCGCTGAGGCTGCTGTCCCCTCGGACGAGCACCAGCACTCGGGGGAGCTGGGGACGCGGCGGCCACCCGAGCAGACCGCGGGGGAGGAAGTGTCTATGAATTCCCAGGTTGGAGCCCTAAGGGGGGTGGTCCCCGCCGATGCCTCAATCCCCTCCCCCTCCAAGTGTCCCACAGCAGATAGGCCCTCCACGTGGCTGCGTCACAGGTCCCTGTCCGTCCTTTAAAAATGTACAAAAAGGTGAACAACTTCTATATAAATAAGAAAAGGGAGCCAGGCCTCCAGGTCCCCACGGACGGCCCCCAAGGCCAGGCCAGGCACGGCTGCCTCCTGGGCGCTTCCCGGCCGCGCACCCCGCCCCGTGGGGGCCCAGGCTTGCCCACCCCCCCAGGCTCCCGCGGCTCTCCGGTCCCACAGAACTGGTCTGACAGAGACCACTGCACTTCCCAGGAGGCGCTGTGGCCAAGCCTCCCCCGCACACCGCGCCCACCAGCGCCCAGCCAGAAGCGTTCCCCGAGCGTGACCCCTCCCAGAGTGCCCTGGACAGGGTGGCGCCCAGCCTGCCCCGCTAGGAGATCTTGCAGTTGCTCCTCGAGCAGTTCTGGGGCGGGCTCTGGGGGGGGCGGATGGACTTAGATCTCTTGAGGCTGTTGCCTTTGCTGCTGCTGCCGCCCGCCCCGCTGGCCAGCGAGTAGGAGCGCCCGTGCATCATGACGGCATTCATGCCGTTGGCCATGGAGAAGGACTTGAGATGGCTCTTGATGGTGACGGGCAGTGGGAGCTTGTCGATGAGGTGCACGGGGGTGCAGGAGACAATGGCCCGACAGCAGAGGTCCTGCAGGCTGAACACTACACAGGGGGGAGGCAGGTCAGGGTGTCGCGAGAGGCTGGGTGTGCCAAGCCCTGGGGGCCCCTGCCCTGCACCCCGGGGCTCCTCAGCTGGGACCTTCGGGCTCAGCTCCGGGAGGGAGGCCTGCAGGCCATAGCACCACCTCCCAGCACCGAGGTGCACACGGGGCATCGTGCATGGTGCCCCCCCATGACGCAGGACCCCACGCGGGGCAGACCCAGCCCCCCGACAAGCCGGGGTCCAACGGGCAGCCCCTTACCCCGATTGGGCCTCCAGATCTTCTCCATGCCGTGCCGCATGAGCACGATACGGGACAGCTCGGTGAACGACTCGATGACGTTGAAGTTGCACAACGGGCTGACCTCGAAGAAGGTCATTCCGTTTTTCTCTGCGTACGCCCGCGCCTGCTCCGTGGGCACTTGCCGCTTGAAGGCCAGGTGCAGCCGGTTCCCAACCAGGATTCGGGGGACGCCGGGCGCATGCTTGGGAGGGCACAGGGCTCAGCAGAGGCACGACCACAGGGCACCCCGTCTTGGCGCCGTGCCCCAGGCCCCAGAGCAGGAAGGGCCTCGCGGTCCATGCTGAGGCCCCTGGGAGCCAGGGTGCTCAGAGCGGAGGACCCAGGGCCGGGGGGGCAGCAAACGGGCCCCCAGGCTTCCTGCCGGGGATGGAGACCCGAAGGTGCATGTGCGGTGCACACCTACCTCATCGATCTCCTTGATCCACCGGTCGATGCCGTCAAAGGACCAGCGGTTGGTGATGTCATAGACCAGGAGGATCCCCTGCAAGGGAGACACGGGCGTCGAGAGGCCGGGCCACCTGGATGGAAGGGGTCTCGGTCCGGGCACAGTGCCCGGTGTGGCAGGGCACCACTCCCGCCCAGCACAGGTGGGCCAGGCACACGGGCTTTCAGGCAGGTTGCGTGGGTCACTAACACAGCCCCGCGGGAGACGGGCGGCTTGCAGACTCCATCACGTCCAGAGGCACCTCTGCTCCCGGCTCTGCCTACAGTTGGGCCAGCCCCCCACTCCGTCCCCTCCCCAAGTCCCGGCCCACGCGGCCCTGGGTGCCCCGTGTGGGCTGATGGCAGTGGGGGATCCTGTGGGCTCCATGCAGCCCCCTCCCTATCTTGGGGACGTGGCTGGGACAAGGGGCATGTTTTCAACGTCTTTCTTACAAACACACCATAAGCATGAAGCTGTGATCACTTCACAATCCCTCCCGTAGGACAGGCAGTCTATGAGGGCCTCCGGGTGGGCCGGGTCCTGCGGACAAGCCTGGAAGGCTGACGGGCAACGTGTGTCCCGCAGTGTCCTCTGCCCGGGCACCGGGGGCGGAGCGGAGGCATCCTCAGCGTCCCAACCCAAACTTGCAGCGCAGGACGTCAGCCGCCCCCGCAGGCCCCCAGCAGCCAGGCGGGTCTGTCACATCCCTCAGAGACCAATTAGTGGGAGCTCGGCCCTGGGCTGGCTCCACCTGCTGGGCTCGCCTGTCGTCCCTGCCTCAAATAACTCAGGGACCTGTCACAAGCCTCAGACTCCAGCGATCCGCGGGCCCCTGCCTGTGTCTGCCCCAACGCTCCCCGGGCAGCAGCTCAGGACCCACCCCGACCCGCCCACACATTGGGACCCTGCAGCCGAGGTCAGACCCAGGGCAGCCTCCAACTCAAAATGAGTCTTTTCCCTCAGATAAATCCTTCCAATCCTGGAAGATGCAGGGGAGCCCCCAGGTCTTCTGAGCACACAGGTCACAATCTCACTCCCTGCCCGGAAAGCCTCGAGCAGAGCGGAGCAGAGCCAACAGCCAACCAGGGAGGGGGACACTGGCCGGGGGAGAAGAGCCAGGCCCGGAGGGAAGTCCTTCGAGACAGATGGGCACTGACCCACATGGCGTCAAGGGCAAAGACACCAGTTTGGGGGGCACTAGAGGGTGAGACTGGATGGGCCCCGCTGCCTGGGGCCCGGGGGCTCATGCTGCTGACCCTCCACGCCTAGGGCCCCCTTCCAGAGATACCCAAGGACGTGTCCAGTGAGCACGCTCGTGTCTGCACTGTTCACAGCAGTACCGGGACGCACGGACCCAGAGCTGGGAGAAGACAAGCTGTGGCCACAGCGCACGGATGGCCAGCCCCAGAGAAGCACCCGAGTGCGCAGCCTGGGTGCGCGGCCCCGTAAGCCCTGGCACAAGGGTCACAAACACAAACATACGGTGACTCCCATAGGCGTTTGCAGGACAACCACGCGGCGGGCGGCTGGCTGGGGCCTCCTGTCCTGCTCCTGCTCTCCGCCCGGGCCCGGGCCCGGGCCCTGGGAAGCCCTGGCTGGGCCTGCGCTGGCACCACCGCCGCCCTGCAGCTGCCGGGTGTAACGGAGGAGCCCCGCTCACAGCCATCAGGTCGAAGGCCACGGGGCGGGCCACAGGGATGTGGCAGGGAAGGGCACGGGGGTCAAGCAGGACGGGACGGCTCAGACGCCCAAGCGTCCATGCCCAGAAGCCCCAGGGGTACTAGCGTCCACTGTGTGTTTCAAAGAGGCGCAAACACATTTTCGCTACATCCTATTTCCTCAATCGGTGACAGGTACTCAGGCTTTGTACGCGAGGAGCAACTCTGGGGTACAAAGAGCTCCCCACCCCTCCGGGAACGGCACTCACTCTCACTCCCGACACAGACGGGGTCGAGGGGCTACGTGCCCGGCCCTCACCCCGGGCCCCGCCCCCGGCAGCCTGCCCCTCACACCAGGCTCAGGAGCTGCCACTGCTGGCGCTCGGGTCATTTCACCTACCTTTATCACCAACGTCTGTTACCCCCCGACCCCCCTGCCCAGGAAGATAAAATCCCAGAAGTGGAGCTGTGCGGCCTCATTCTATCAAGGTTATTTCCACTTGTCACGTAGGAGGGCACAGACATGTGCAGGGGGCGGGCGGACGGAGAGGATCTCCAGCAGACTCTGCGCTGAGCAGGGAGCCCCACATGGAGCTCAACCTCAGGACCCCGAGATCATGACCTATGCCGAAACCAAGTCTGATGCCTAAACGACGGAGCCCCGGCCCCAAGATTAGTTCTCAGCTACAGCTTGCACCTCAGAAGAGGCAGAGATTTTCAGCGTGGACAGTTTGATGAGTCTGGACAAATGAACGTACCTGTGCTGCCAGCACCCCGACTGAGGGACAGGGGTGCATTTTTTATGAATTTAACTTTCGGGGTGTGTGATGCATTTTGTGCAGTAAAGCTCCCAAGGAATGAACAGCTGTGGTGAAGCCCTCTGCCCACACCCCCACTAGAAGCACCGAAAACGGGGCAGCTGCCAAACGGTCCCCAGCCCATACGCCCGCCCCCCTGGGTGGAGACAGGTGGCATGCTGGTG